GGGCCTGCATAACTTAACAGATGGTGAATACAAGAGGCACCACCAAGGAGCTCAAACAAGACCACAGACACCACACCACACAAGGAGCGGGGGGTTGGATACCATGGGGTGGGGGGCGGAAGGGGGCTCTGGCATCATGCATACACTGCTGCGGCCTGAAAGTAAGCTTCCTGGGGTCCCACTCTCCACACTCACGGCTCTTAGACACATCAGTGGGGACCCTAAAAATTTCATTTACGTGGCCTAGGACCAGGGCACCCCGGGTTGGTGGAGTCCTTGTGGGGGGGCGGGCGAAAGGAAGGCGGGCTGGGCCATTTCTGGGTTCTGGGCTTCTGTGCTTACGGGGCTGAAGGTTTCTGGGTTGCGGGCTTCTGGGCTTAGGGGGGGTTTAGGGGTTGCGGGCTTCTGGCTTGGGGGGTTACGGGGTTTTGGGTTAAGAGTGTCCGGCTTCAGGGTAGCAGAGATGGAGTTTAGTGTTTTTCTTGGCCTAGGGGATTTAGGGTTAGGGTTTCTGGGTTGTGGGCTTATGCGGGCTTGGCTTCTGGGCATAGAGAGTTTTCGGGCTTCTTGATGTAAGGTTTCAGGGGTTTCTGTAAACCCGGCAACACCTCAGGAGGCCTGGCTGCAAAAGGGGTTTAGGGTCAAGGACTCCAAACCCACACTCCATGCCCTCGACCCTGACCCGCACACCAGCCGCTGTTGATGGCAGCGGATGGCAGCGGTCAATGAAAACACCGATGCCAAGACAGAGGGCCCCTTACACCCTTCATGCCCCCCCCCCCCCGACTCCCCATTTCCAAGAAAGAAGAAAGGCTGACAAGTTCGAACACTGTCATTTCCTACAACCCCCCCCTCAACCCCTCTTAGATAGAGTGGACTGAATAGACAATTGGGACGGGGTTCGTTTGGGCATAGCTGACAGCTCCAGCTCTGCAACTCTGGTTTCAGCCGGTACGCACATGTACGAAGGACAGCCTGTAAAGGATTGTGCAGATGACGACGCCACTTTTTACAGCTGCAGTGCCATGACGAAGTGTTGCTGGCTAGCCTGTGTTTCGAGCGTGGCACGACCTGAAACAGGTAGCCACACTGCGCCTTCACGATGTGTGTCTCGGTCGGCGTTGCTTTCACCTCTGACCGCTTGCCAGCTCAAGCTCCAGCTTGAGGTCCAAAAGCTCTCACTTTGCCGAGTGCCCTGGAGAAGTGCATCAGCCTTTCTCACAGGGCAACCAGTTTGCAGTGGCTTGGCATATCTTGGCCTCCAGACTTTAGGGCCTCTTCATCCCTCAACTTGCCTGTGATTCGAGCCAGGCCGGCTTTGGGAAATTCTCCACATGTGTCGACATGGCAAGAAACCATCCTACACATGATCCTACCCGAACTCCGAAACCGCTTCAGAGGGTCTGAAATTGTTATGGTTGCGAGGTCTTGTGGTCGGGTTTGTGAGTGGCATGGTGCTTTTGGAGTAGCTTGGCTGGCTCTGCAGACACAGTGTCTCGTAAGAGCACCCAAAATAGGCTGCAGATGCTTGGTGGTCGGGACTGTCCGGGTGCTATCATGCTCAAGCATCAGAATCCGGAGTGTAATCTGAGAGCAGAGTGTCACGTTGTCGGCCACGAACCCTCTAGCTGCCTGTAGCCGCTCACTAATTCTGGCAAGGGGAAGGTCGGGTGGTGTACACGCAGTAAAAACCCTGCTGACAATCCTTGTTGGAGTCGCTGCAAGGACTGGCTTTTGCATTGGGAACCGAAATATAAACCTCGCTTGGGAAATGTCTCCCTGCTGGGCATGGATGTCTCGGATCAGGACTTCCGCAGTGTTGCAACCTTTTGCCCGTCTCGAGGGTGCCCATCTCGCTGCAGAAAGAAACGGTTCGCCCATGTAATGCCAGGAGCCTTTCCGGACCGCGTATTTGTACAATCGAATCGCATCTTTGTCAGAAAAAAGCTGTTAGGGTGACGGGGGTGAGAACAGGCTGCATTGCAAGAATTGGGCTTTCTTCGTGCGTGGGAGCTGTTTAGAGAGACCACAGCAGCAACGTATTTGGCGTGATTCTTCTGAGGCGTACAAGCAGTACGACAGCACGGAACACGCCAAGAAGCACATCAAAGAAAGGCTGTTCAGAATGAGACCAAAGCACGTGTTTCCCACTTCAGCCCTGGCTGGAAATTCCTCTGCACATCAATATCAGGCGTTGTCCATCTCAGTAACCTGCAGACAGTCCCGGAGGACAGAACTCTCGAGTAACTGTTCAGTTCAATTCCCGATCTAGGGACTTACGGCGCTTGTTTTCCATTTGGTTGACTACTGATGGCCCCCGGCTTCCTTCACGAGGTTTGACAAATTTTGGACGAAGATTTGCGGATGCCCTCCAAAGCTGCTAGTGGTCAGCTGAATGATTTAAAGCCCGGGTACCCAACGGTTTGTGGTTCTCGAGACCCTGCTCAGAGACTACCAGGCCAGGAACCAGTGAATCATTGGGATCTCTACCGTCTAAATCTACATCGTGCTTGGGACGGAGTAGTTGTTCGCAATGCGGTGGCCGTCGAGGGCCAAAGTGCATTTGGAGAGTGGTGCAGTTTCAAGAGGTTGATGACTTCACTGACTAGGTTGGTTCTTCACGGAGCTTTGACGACTCAGTGCTCAGGCTTCGTAGCATTCGGGCAGTTTTAGTCGTTGTTCTTGGGCATGAGCTAGGTTGGGCACGTTTAAGTACTCGGCAGGGGCGGATGGCAGGTGCATGCTGCCCTTTGCTTTTGCCGCAGGCTGGGAAGTCATTGGAACATTGTTTCAAGAGTGACGCTGGTCACTGGAGCTGCCTCTATGTACGACGAGGCGGGGTTGTGCAGGGCTGTAGGCTTGACTTGACATTAGACGCCCAGCCAAATTCTGCGAGCCAACATCGCATAAGTTGCCGCAAGCACTGCCAAGTCAGCTTGCGCCAGCAGCAGAAGCAGGACCCGATGATGCTGGTGCAGAGTTCGAAGACCTTCGAGTGTGTGCTGGCGTTTGCGGGCGTCAACAACTACGGCCTCTCGACATGAAGATGATCTGTGGTCTCGAGATTGCTGCCAGCTACCGCGTAGCATTGGCACGTACCGGCGGGAATGCAATTCATTGAGTTCGACACCCGAGGAAACGAGCTGGCGACTGCCACAGATGTCCGAACAGCTCCATTCTGCGGCTTCAAGACCGTCCACACGGGATACCGTGACGAGCTGCGCAGGCCACTTTAGTAGCTGAAATAGGGTGACGGTGGAACTAAAGCAACTAGCTCGAGAACTGTTTACAAAGCACAGGCTTTTTGCGGAATCAGCATATAGGCACCGAGCCGGAAGTGGACTCTAGATCCCAGCACTTCCCTTTGCTGGCAAATGCATGGTTTTGTAGGCTGTTATTTCAATTGCGGCCGTGTCTCGGCCTTCGTCCGAGCACCAGAAGAGCCTAGACTGAGTTGCACTTGCACCGAGAAGGATGATCGAAGAGCTGTGGCCCCTCATCCGGCCGAAGATAGGAAAGTGCAGGCCGGTGGGGCGAGCGAAAGGGGCTGGCATTGCGAGACAACAGTGGCAATTGCAAGTGAACATTGCCTTGCTTGTGATCACGTCATGCCAAATTTCTGCGATAACTTGCCAACCTGCCTCAGTCACGTGGCCTGCACCGGACATTCAATGGGCGGCTCTCTTTGTGACCTTTTTGCCGCATGCGCAAACAGTGGCCGCTGGGGACTTAAGCCATCGCAAGAGGGGCTAGCAAGAGAGACCCGCGGAATCCCCTCCTAATGCTCCGCACCAAGGCCACGATGACCCTGACTTTCTCGCACAGTCTTGGAAAAAGGCACCTCTTCATGCATACGACTCATGCCTGCATCTGCATCAGCATGTGCTTCTCGCATCTCGCTCCGCCAGGAGATTCCCAGCGCATTACCTGAGATAACGGACTGCGGCAAGACCATCTACAAGGAGAGGTCTACATGAATCCCGAGCAGCATTGGTCTCTATATATGAATATTTTGCATGCCCACCCTCATGAGATTGCCATCTGATGTACAGGAGGATGCCGAACATCGCTGCAGTTGTCCTCCGTGCCCCAAGTAAGTCCACGTGCCCCCCTGCTGGATGGCAGTGGCTGCAGTGTGACTGGATATGCTCAGACCTCCGCAAGAGACGGAGAAGCCGTGTCTGAGGGCAATAGCAAGAGCAGCGAGCCATGGGGCTACCATTCGAGTCGCTTCACCTGTAGGTGACCGCCAGCTGAGACTCCTGAGCGAGTCTTTCAGAGGGCGAAGAAAGGCAGATGACCAGCACGCCTGTTTGACTCTGACAGCATCAAATGACAAACTCCAAGCAGATGCATTGCCACTTTGGCTGGGATCGCCTCGCTATAGGCCTGAGGAGAACTCGGCCGTTGAGGGACCTGACCATAAACACACTGCCTGCCATCCAGCCAAAAGCCTAACTTCCCACAGCATGCCCAGACGCCGCTTTTCACAGCGACAATGGCCAGTTCCCAACTGAAGCATGTTTTGCAACCAGGAAGCTGCCCAGTCTAAGACTGAAGGCACCGATCAGAGGATGAAAAATAAATACGACTCGGTGTGTGCTGTTCGGGCTGGGTTTCGAGGCTGCATGTTAGCGCCCTGACCTGCCGAGTGCGGGCGTCGGAGAGGGTTGGAAACAAAACAAGGCTTCTCGTCGCTGTGTTGGTGTGGGGACGAGATGTTGCCTAGGTCGCGAACAGTGCCGCCCTGGCCTTTGCAGGACAGCTATGCTCGATTTCTGTAGCACCACTCACGTCAAGACTCGCCATCAGCCCTGAAGCTTCCGGTATTTTAGTTTTGCGTGGGAATCTTTGCTCATCCTGATTGCCAGCCAGGAGTGCCGCTCCGGCCCCGTGAAGAGCGGTTGGTTGGCAGGGTCAAAAGGTGCGGTACCTTAATTGCAGGCAATACGTGCAGGCCTGACAAAATCCTCCTCAATCCCGAGCGACTACGCAGGTTTATGGATGTTCCCGGTGGCTTTGGCTACGGCTTCATCGACTGCGAGGAGACGAAGCTTCGCTTTACCCGAGCGTCCCAACCGCATGTGGAGCAATAACAAGACAAGATAGTACCTGCCTGACCTGGCCTTATCAGATTTCTCTTGCGCCTGAGATGTCATCATATCAGTAAGATCCCGCAGCCCTGCTTCCGCACTAGCAAAGCCAGCAAAGCCAAGGACGTCTACGTCCATCGAAACCAATTGGAGGGTTTACAGATTGGTCAGGCCCTTGGCAAGCTTTCGGCCGATGCATTTTTTTTGAGGGAGTGGTGTGCTTGTTGCCTGTGCGGCTGAGCATTACGTAGCAGCAGTCCAAGCAATGGCCAACAGCTTGCTCCAAAAACCCGATCCTCTCTACACATCATGGGTGATTCCGAGGTGACGAGGTGACATTCACGCTCATGCTGAACAGCAAAGGCGAGCCGCAGGCTGGATCATGTGGAGGTTCTCCTCTGGTCTCTCAGTTTGAGCAAATCCATTAAGCCCTGTAACACGAGATGGGGCAGGCGCGCAATGTCATGAAACTGGAGGATGCACTCCTGCTCAGCTCGGGGCAGGCAATGCAGACACAGGCGGGCCGAAAGTACAGCTTCTGGAGCGGGCAAATGACGATAGCTGCCACAACTGAGGATCTTCATCTTATGGACGAAAATCAGGCCCTGGCCGCCCGGGACCGGGATGCCTTGCAGTGGATTTTGTGGGGAAGCGGCAGATTCGGAGAGATCGACTTTTTGCTCAAGTAATCGAACCTGAGCACGGCCTGCAGGCTTGCATTGCTTCATCCGCAGCAGTTTTAGGCTGCAGCTGCCTATGTAGGTTTTCATGTAGGCCCATCGCCCCGAAGACTCAAGAAATCACTGTCAGGTTGATCATCACCCAGCAGGTCCAACCCCCACCCCACACAGCACTCCCGCAAGGCATAGCAAGGCCGTTAGCGAAGCGGCCAAGAGCGATGCTTTCAGCAGGCAACTTTGCCGGCCAAAAGCGTGCTGCTGTGGCTGACATCCACGTGCCGTTGCTGTGCGATATCACGCCGTGCCTTTCGCGGCGATTTGCTGTGCAGTGTATATGCTAGCCTAAAATCTTCTAGAATTGAATCAGTCAGTGGAGCCTGGCCTGGTCGGCGCGCAAAGCACACAGAACAGTTTCTGTAACCAAGACAGTCGGTGACAGGAAGGGTGAGCTCGTCGAGTTGGGCGTCGATCCTGCGCAGCGCGAGAAATGCTCACAGGGGGTCCAGGCAGACCTGGCCCAAGGCCATGGATTCTGCCGTAGACTCGTAGGGATACACTTTCCACTTGTCTTGACGTTGTCTGGTGGGACCGGCCAGTCGTGTTGGACTGGCGTCGTTGAACTGCTGTTGTCGGATTCCGTTTCGGGCAGGCGAATCTCTCCGTCGACAGGAACCACAGGAAAGAACTGACCAGAAAAAGTCAGCAAAGACCCTGCGGCTGCATTGAAGGGGTGCTGGCGACACGCGCAGCCATTCTGACTAAAGTGACTAAAGGATTGAGCCTAGATCTGCCGACCAGACATGGCCACCGGAGATCACTAAGAAGCTGTGTGTCGCCCTCTATCGTGACGTCGCACAGTGTGACAGGATGTGTTTGGTTGTGTGTTTGTAAGACTTTGTAAGTGTGCGTACGGGTGCGTGTGTGAGCTTAGGACCAAACCTCCTTTGGCTTCTGCTGCTGTTTGCCGCCTCGCTCTGGGTTTGCTAGGCCTGGCACCCCACGAGCTGCCTGGCAAGACAAATGCTGGAACGAGTCACAACTGTCCTGTCCGAGCTCGAGTTCCCCTCAGCTCGCTGCTTCCTAGCAGAGGGGAAACTGCTGGGCCATCTTGCAGCCAAGGAAGCCCAACACATGGGCAGAGGTATGGCTCAGCTTTCAGGCGCACCTTAGCAAGTGCAGCCATGGTAGGACATCATTGGGATGAGACCTAACACATTTCAGCGCCACTCTTGCAGGACACAACTTGCAAGAAGCTTGGGTTAAGCTCGGGTTCCTTGACTTTTATGGTGAGCAAATGCTGCTTGGCGTTTGGCAACCTCTTGACCGAGGTTTCTGCAGCCCCGATATGGCCAGCAAAGCTGACAACGAAGCCTGGCAGCGTCAGGTGTTGTCACACCTGCGTCAGCTCCTGGGTCAAGCGGAAAGCGAGCCAGCCGCGCCAACGGCGCCTTACGCAACCTGGCCAAATCTTCGCGTCATCCCACGACGCGAACTCGGCCAGAGCCCGTCAGCCCGTGGAGCCGAGGTATGTGATCGGAAGCTGATCCTTGGCAGTTCCAGCAAATTGTTGTGAGGCTCATTGTCCAACGTCCAACATGGCCCGATTGCCTTAGGATTCAGAGCAACATCCATGAGCATCTGGACTTGGCGGAGTTTGCCCTCAAGCGAATCACCTGCGCCGTGAAAGCTTTGCAAGACCCGGAGCGGCTGAATCGGCCCATGTGGCTTGAGCTGCGCTAGCCGCTAGTCCTCTCTCGGTCTCTCGGTCGTCGGGGGAAGTGCTCTGAAGGGCAGCCCGTAGGCGTATTTTGCACATTCAAGCACACCGGGCCAGGTTGCTGCAAGAGTACACTGAAGAGATGGCGGAAGATGTCTGCCAAGATCTTAGACAATGGCTTGAACAGCAACCTGGCGTGTCAGGAGGAAAGAAGTCTCAATTCGGACAGGGTTCCAGTTTCGTAGAAAGCGTTGTTCTCCCGGGTTGTACGTTCCTTGTTCTGTTGGTTCGCTGGTTGACTTGTGAACTGTATCTTGCTCCTGTCGTTCGGTTCAGTGCTTGTGACCTGCATTTCCCATGCCATTCTTCGCTATCACATTCCCCGGCCTCATGCTGCGATATCTAAAACTGGAAGGCAATCAATTTTCGACCCGATTGACCCGCACCATGCAGCGGTTTTAAGGGTTCTAGGAAGGACGACCCCTGGAGCACCCTCTTCGTTCGGAGGCTTTTCAATCCGATCCAACATGCATTCAGCAACCGTTGTTTCCGTGGCGATGACAAAGAGATGCCTACATATTACCTATATTGAATGCTCGGGTTGGTTCATAACGTCACAGTCGTGTTCGTTGGGAAGGTTCGGTTGAACACCCACCCCTCTTACCAGCAGTCAGACCGCCTCATTCAACTGGAAGGGACTATATTCTTTGCCGATTTCCTCCGTTGGAAGCAACACCGCAGCCCGAAGAGGGTTCCCCCATCACGACTAAGCATGGTCTCCGCCAGGCTCTCTGTGCTCTTGTCGCTGTACCACGTCTTCCTCCTGGAGGCCGAGCTTCCAGGTAACGGTTTGCTTCTGCCTTCCGTGCCTTGCAGGAAACAGAGCTCAAAAGTACTCGTCTACTCGTCTGCCCTCCAGACTCCACTTCATTTCGGGGCTGCGGGTGCAGCCAGTCGCTGAGCGCGGTTGGGTGTCGCGTTCGGGCGGCTCCGGCGCTCGCGTGCTCTTCTTGCCCTTGCAGTTTTGACAATGGTCAGCCGTCCAGCTCTCACACAAAGATTACCATGGACAATGGGTATTTGCGGGGAGATGGCAAGAGTCCTTTCGAGACGACAGCTTGGTCTTCAGACGGCAATTTGACAAGGGATGACACAGAAGGGGATGAAACTGTACAGCAACTTAGTATTGAGGGAGGCAGGCAGTGTGACTCTTCGCCTTTGCGGGCGAACGGATCGCGATTCAGGTTGTTGGTGGTTGTCGCGGTTCTGTTGAGTCTGCAGCCTTGCCTTTCGGTGCGTTTTCAAGGTCTCGAGGGATATGTTTCCACGGCATGGACAATCACCTCATGAAGCACGCCTGATCGAAATCGCAAGTTGGGTTCCGTCTGCAGTAATTACGGTTCGCCTGAAACGGATCGGCGTGGTTCGGTTCGTGGCGGGTGAGTTCCTTGGTTCAACGACCTTCCTGAAAGGCCGAGCGCGAGCGCAGACGCCTCTCTGCGAAAATTGGCTCAATGGAGTCAAAGTGGTCTGCGGCGGAGGCACGGGCTTGTGTCGCGAGTCCTTTATTCCATGGCCCTGCAACATGGCCGCAGGTCGCAAAGAAACATGCCGAAAGGTGCGAAAAGGCCGCAGACAATCGGCTCGCTTGACGGGTCGTGTCGTGGTGATGATGTGACGACGTTCAGGTTTGATAATACTGCAAGGCAATTTCCGGATCATTGGTGGGTCGGCTGGGATGACAAGGAGCATGCTGTGGACATTCACAGCTTTCTCTGACCGGGGTGCTAAGTAGGAGGGTATGGATGGCATAAGTTTTGAATGGCAGCTAGCAGAATCCGACTCGGCAGCATGTTGAACAGCGGCCAATGGGCGAGTGGGGCAGTGCTCCAGGGCACCGGGCATACTGGGTGTACTTGTTGGACCGATCTTCGCACTTCGATTTAGGAGATTAATACTGGCAGCTTCGGCGGCTTGTTCGACAGGCGATGGAAGAGCGATGGAACGAGCAGAAGATGCGACGCAGAGCAGAGGCTGTCCTCGGCATCAGCCTCGATGAGCAGGAGACTGTTGAAAAAGGTGTTGGTTTGCATGTCCTTGCGATTTGCCCACCAGTTCCTACCTGAACTTGGTTCCCGGGGACTTTTCCGAGAGTAGAAAACTTCCCCACGAAAGATGAAATCCCTGCACATGTGGAGCTGAACAGATTGCCTACAACTTGACCTCCAGGATGACAAGATCTACAGCCAAAAGGAAGTAGATGCCATGTTCAAGGACTGGGAGGAAAAGTCGCTAGGCACAAGTCGCAAATCCGATAGACGATGTTTCAAGATGTTCTGCGATGTTAGGCGTGCCCCGCGTGTTTGGTTTGTGTGCAAGGGGTTTGGTTTTGGAGGCCGTTCCAAACACTTGTACTGGCAGATTCTCATTTATCTTGTGGGCCGCATTCTGCGGATGCCCTCGCAACTGTTGTCAAGTGCTTGCGCCACCCCCGGCGAAGCTTGCTGTTGTGCACTGGCATCCTTAGTTTTCGGTTGGCCAACAAACAGCTCTTATGAGTGGCAATGCTAGCTGGCACAGAGCGGCATACAAGCTGGGTGTCGCTTGCTAGCGGTGTGCCAAGCGGCAGACTGCAGAGAAGTAGCCGCTCACTTCGCTTAGGGTTCAACAGGGGCCAAAGGCGGGTCCGAAGTGCATGAAAAATCTGCCAAGGTACCTGAAGCCGCTTCAGGATGAGCTCGAAGAGTTGCGCGAATCCAATGACAAGATCCTCGCACATTGGGAAATTGCTTGAGCAGTGTATTGAAAGTGGCTCCTTCGGGGTAAGACGGGAATTCAGCGAGGCTTGAGGTTTGGGGAAAGCAACTCCCAGTGGCTGCGATCATGAGCGCGACGCAGTGCATCAACCCTCGCAGCCTGGAGAGCGAGGGCTAAAACGAGAGGCTTTCAGGGCGAAAAAGTAAAAGTACGGGTTGCTTTGGTGATTGTCGTGAGCCGCAAGCTGTCTCCAATCTCCTGCGAGCCTCCCCGTCACCAGAACAGTGTGAAACGGTAGGTTGCACCAAGTGGCATTGGGTGTTGGCACGTATCCAATTTCAGTTCTTGCCGTGTCCAGCTTGAGGACTTTCAGCAGAATGGCGAGTACTCGTTCTCTCAAGCGTCGCTGGGCTGCTGAAGGATGCAGCAACGCAATGCAATGCATATGATATTTGTGCAGATGTCCAGGGTGCAGCGATGCAGCGAGGTACCGGCCTGGATGTGGACGACGAGGAGCGTGGTTTTTCGAACCTCGGCAGGGCAGAGCTGGGCTTGCTGCAGACAGCACTGGTTGCTTCTTCAGACCGTGTGGCCGGGGAGCTCAGTGGCTTGTTACTGCAGCTCGGGGAAAGCCTTGCAGATGGCTCCGAACTTCAAGAGATTGTGCAAGATATCATGGCCTTGCCTGCACTGGACCCTCGTTTTACTCGTGGGCAGGATGCAGTCGTTCTTTCTCGCGATGATTTGGGTTTGGTGCAGACTGCCCTGGACGCCACATCGCAGCGAGTAGCTGGTGAGCTTAGCAGGAAGCTGACAGCACTTGGGGAGCACCTTGTGTCAGGAAGTCCCGAGCTGTCGACTATTGTCCGGGCCATTCAAAATTTGCCCATGGATGCTGCCGGGGACAGGCGACAGAGTGGCTTGACCAACTCGGTAGGTGTAAACACATCGGCAGCGATGGTCCTTCCCAGCAAGGATGGCAGAGACAGCCCCGAGGGCCCCGAGGGCCAACAGAAGGATTCCGCTTTTCAGGCTGAGCTCGGCCGGATGCGTGCCAGCCTTGACGCTGAACTGAAAGCTGCCAAGGAAGAGGCAGAGCGACAGCGGCTCCGTGCCGAGGAGGCCATGCGAAAGCTGGAAGAGGAAGCCAGGAAGGCAGAGAACATCATTACAGATCTTCGAAACAAGCTCAAGGCCCTACAAGCTTTGCTGGAAAGAGCAGGATTGGGCAAAGAAGCGGCCGCAGCACTGTCACAATCAGGCTTGAAAGACTTCATCGCTGGGCGTGATGTGTTCGAGAGGCTATACCGGGATGCTTTGCGGCGGATGCGAGTTTATGCTGAAACGCAGTTGCGCCTGCTAAATATGTCGGCTGCTGACTTCCTGCAGACTTTGCATGATTTGGCGGCCTATCCCGTTGGCGCGGTGGAAGCTGCAATAGAGCTGCAGCGGCAGGGGCGGAAGCAGGACGAGGAGTCGCCACTTCTGGTCATGGGCTACGCCGGCCACACTAAGGCTGCAGAGCAACGCAACACTGGGCCGTCACCGGCATCCAGTCCGAAGAACCTGAGGCAGGCAGACAATGTGGATATCCCAAGTACTGCACGGCATCTCCGCAAGTTCAAGACTTCCAAGACCACCACAGGCGAAGTGGACAAGCGAAGCAAAGCCTCTGGGTCAGGAAGTTCAGTCATAAGGCGTGCAGCCACTGAAGGCTCCTCGCTCCGTGGTGTGCCGATCAGAACGCTGCGCCAGACTTTGTTTGAAGGTTTTCAAGACCAAGGCTCGCCCAAGGATGAAGCTCACGGTAGATCCTCGAACAGGGAGGCTCACGGAGACTCCAACGGCCATAGCGATCAAGAAGGAAGGTTTACGCGAGCTGTAGCGGCTGGTAGCCAGCTTCTTCCGCGTCCTGGCACTGGTAGTGGGCATCGCCGCCCCCTGCTTGCACATGGTTTGCACGCGCCGCGCCCAGCCAGCAGTGGCAGAGCCAAAGCGCGGGCTCGAGCGGAGACTGGAAGCTTCCCGGACCCGCGGCAAGCACGGCAAGCCCATCCTATGCAGGAACAAAGCCGGAGCTTCGGATAAGGCGGACAAAGGAACATGCCCCTGGCGTCCATCGATGCATCATGAAAGGTAGCACGCACTTGGGCCTCTAGGCTCTCGTTCTGGAATTCGGATCCAACTCTGCAAGTCGTAGTAATGTCGGGACATCATGGCATGTCTGAGACAGCCTTTAAACACAACAAGATGTTCGGTCAACCTCGTTAGTTACTGAGCCGGAAGACTTGATTGTATATCGATTGAAAGAGTCTTACTTTGTTCTTATAGTACGGTTCTAGCTTCAATGGTATTGCTGTCGAATCATTCACCGGCCTTCCCGTAGTACTTCGCGCCGAACCGGCCGCTGCTCCAAAGAGGGCTGAGCAGACCTCGGCCAGTGCAATGTTCAACTTCAAACTCTCCGAGCCCTGAGCTCGCCTCTCATAGCCTGCTTGGATGTAGGATGTTCTCCTTGCGGTAGCAGAAAGCATCACGTCGCACTGGCCGATTTATGTTTTGGGTGGCCAGCGCAGAAATGCAAAAGCTCATCACCCCTGCGCAAAAAAAGGGCGCGGGGTGTCCTCTGAGTGTTGCTGGTCGCGCTGGCGCTGTAGAAAAGGCAATGGTCCGGGCGACTGAATGCTTGCATGTCGGGGGCACGGGCACAGTGTGGTGGCGACTTCATGCTTCGCACGTCTTTGCATGCGAGCTTCAGAGAGTCTGGTTTTGCACGAGAAGCACACCTCCGGCAGGCCAAACAGTTCCAAGCTGCACTGAAAGGAAGCCGGCAGTGATCGCTAAACTTGGGAGGCTTCTCCTATGAATTACACAATTCAACAATGCGAGTAGGACCAGTCCGGAGTTGAAGCTTCTGGCCACTTGTTGCGAGTGGATCCGCATGCTTGCGCAAACCCCACCCGACAACATGCTCTTCATATGTCACGTCGTTACCCGCTGTTCTGAGTGCAGCACAAGCGGCGACAAGAGCGCGCTCAATGGCATGTAATGGCCGTGTTCAAGACACGCAGACCTGAGAGACGACAGTTATGTAAGCAGATGTGCTGCTGATAGGCTTTCTTGACATCGGTGCGGTCAGCGTGAAATCGGAGACTCGAGCAGAGAGGGGAGGAGAAAAAGACTCAAGGCCACAGCGAAGCTTGGCTCTGCATGGTCTGTGCATTAAGCGATGGAGATGGGTTTTGAAGCCCTGGCGTGCCAAACATCAGTGTACTGAGCCAGGGATGGTGAAGTTATGGGAGTCATTGGAGTTGGCCAGGACACGGGATTCCGGAATGTCAACCGGTTTACCCAGGTCAGAGTCGGCCATCACATGCTTGCCCCTGTAGCCAGTGCAGGACATAACAGAGATGAACAGGCAGAAGCAGGAGGCGTCAAAAGCACACAACGGCTTGCTTTTGTCCTGCCAGTCCGTGAGGCTATTCGAAGAGTTATGAAGTTGTGACGACATCGTTCGCGGAGTTGTGGTGGTGCTTACAAAAACAGATCTGGCATGAGCAGGCAGTTCGAATCGCCTCTGAGCTGCAGAACATCATCCATTCGGCCGGCCTCTCAATGCATTGGCACTTCCTGAGTCATGGCCTTGTCTTAACGTTGTGGCTGTGCAGGCTGCTGCACCGATCATTGCTGTGGACCGGAACAACCGCATCACAGAGCCCGTTTGCCCAGCCGTAGCAAGAACGCTGGCTACTGCTTCCCTCCCATACATCAGTTCATCAGTCTCAGCTCTGCATGAGGTGGAACAACCGAGTCGAGGAGATGACAGGCATCACTTCGGAGCAAGCCGCTGGCAAGGTCCGGGCACGTGGCTCGCATGACTGTGCTGGAATGCTTTAGCCGCTATGCACACAGACTGTTCAGAAACGTGCAGTGCAAGGACCTTCTCCTATATGTGCGAGAAAGCTGCGCCACCGAGGCATGTGCCGTTTAAAGTCTTGAAGTCTGTGCGTTGTGCTCTGGTTTGTGCTTTTTGTGGTTGTGCTCTTCACCTGGTGTACATATGGCGAGGATTGTTTTGAGTGGTGCGCTTTGTTCCGTGGCCTGTGTGTACACTCAGTCTCACGCGCGCAATGCATAATTACCTTCGGCTATGCGCCGCACCTTTCGGCTTGTTGTGCCCAGCTTCGATACTTGCAGTCAGCACGCACTTGCGTGCTTCGTACTGTTAGAAGGAGCTTTTGAGTTCCGAAATGAAGTGGCCTATGCTGGCGATGGTGCTTTGCCATCTGGCAGGACAGGCCCTTGTCTTGGCCGCACGTCGAAGTTCGTGCAGCTGCGACTGTTGTGAGACCGCAGCCAGCCGCGAACAAGACTTCCCAGGAGGTATGCAGTGCAGTTTCGCTCAGCCAAAAGCCACAACCGCGCCGAGGTGCGACAGCCTTTGTGCCAAGCATGCAGATGACAACACAATTGAGTCAGCCCAGAGCTTCTTGGACACCGAGCGTTTCTGCTTCGTGGAGTGCGTGCCGAGCAAGGAAGACCTCCGAGCGGGGGACACCTGTCGACCTATGTCCTTCGAGGAAAAGAAGTCCTCACGTGGAGAGGGGAACATTCGTCTACCGAAGCCCAGTGCCGTTCAGCACTTGAGGAAAAAGTCTTGGCAGACAGTCTTGGCTCGGGAGCCAAAGAAGCCTGAAGCTCCCAAGGCATGGGCCTCCCTGGAAGGCTCAGACATGGAGAAGGCTTTGAAAGATGGGAAGATGGCAGCCACCAAGGCCATGGAGGAAGCGAAGGCCGTCCAGCAAGCCAGCTATGCAGGCTTTTCCGTGGTGTCCAAAGCAGCCCGGGCTGAGGAAGATGCCCGCAAAGCGGCTGTCATGGCGATGAACACCGAAGAGAAGGTTCGCAAGGTGCTAGACATGGCAAAGATGGAAGCCCATGCGGAAGCTTTTGGGGTACTCCAGGAGGTCTTGCCTCCTATGCAACAGGCAGCTAGAGTTGCTGCGAAGACCAGCGCAATGGCGGGGCCGGCGTCCCAGTCCGAGGAGGCCCAAAAAAAGCAGGTCTTGGCAACCTCCAAGGCTGCTGCAGATGGCATGAAGCCATGGTCCGATGCCATGCAGAATGCCGTGAAAGTGCGGGATGCTTATGCCTCTCGAGGCAAGGAGCTGGCCGAGGCATCCTTGGCAGCGGAGCGCAATGCACAGTACCTCGAGAAGGAATCCCGCGCGTGGCAGACGCTACAGACCCCACAGGCAGAGCGGAAAGCCAGCAGTCTGCACTCAAAAGCCCAAGAGTTCATGGCCACGGCTTCGGAGAATGACGAGAGGGCGAACAAGTACTTTGACATTGCTAGGCCCCACGGCAGCACCGAAATACTGGGCATTGTGCTACTTGACAGCTTGCCGTAGGTTCTGCGTCAGCATTGCATTGCCCGACCATGCCAGGTCCATCGATGGTAGCCTGCCATCGTACTCTCAGCAGGCAGAACAGGGCGCCTACCACGCAATGGCCATGGTGTCTCCTGACGTTCCGGCCCCATTGCCACCACTTGCAATGGTGCAGAGGTCTGAGAGGTGAGAGCGGCTCCTCATTGCATGGAGACACAGTTTCGATGCGCATCAAGAGGCAAAACAGTGCGACAGCTCAAGTCAGTTTTCTCGGGGCAAATCCTCAAGAGAGGTGGGGCGCTTTAAACCGCACTGCAGTTGCAGGAGGCCGCGAGCACGATTGATCAGCTTTGCCTGTGATTTAGCCACCTGGGCTCACATGGCCACGGGGAGGGGTGCCCGCACGCTTCGGTGCCATGCCAAGCTCTCTGAACCTTGTCGAACAATGAGACTTTTGATGGGGACACTTGCTACGTCAGTTTTTTTCGACCTAACGTTCTGAAGTCTCTGGCAACTGAAGGAAAGCACGGGCAGGGAAGCCCTCCGTGGCTGAGATGAAGGACCATTGTTCTGAAGAGATAAGCAGAGGTAGAGCGGCAGAGAGTTCAAGTCGGCACAGGCCCAGCTCTCAGGCTTGCGGAAACCGGCCGCAAGCACCATGGAGGTGAGACGTTTGGACCTGTGGTTGTGCACCGCTGATTGGCTTTGGGCTCTGTCCGCAGGCATTGTACACGAAGTACCATCAGATCTGCATGTCACAGGATCCACCATTGCAGGTGCGAGACCATCTCTTCGCATGCTGGATCGCATTTGCTACCGTCCCACACGGTGGGCTGCGTCATCTGCAGGAAGTTCACATTAACGAGCCGGACATGAACTGGAAAGCTCTCATTTTGAGTCTGCCCTCCCCCGACAATGAGAAGGCGAGAGGCAAACGCCAAAGTCGCCCGAGTGCAGACTTTAAGTACTAACTATAGTACATGTTTTGGAACAAGCGTTGCGGGCGGAGGTGCTGGGCTGCGGAGTGCGACGGATGCTGTTGAAGCGAGCAGATTGCGTCTATGACGGCATCTACCGCTTCCATGTTGAAAGGCTCATGCCAGAGCACTGCAAGAAATCGTCAGCTCTGCCGTTGTTGTGTTTGGTGTCAGGCGGGACCTGAGCCAGATGATGTTCGATTTCCGAGATGCTTACGATGACCCTTACCATCATTACAAGGTCCGGTCAGATATTGTATAATGTAGTCTCCAGAGTCTTGCGAGTCCAATCACAACGGCTGCCGATTTGAACATGGTGCGACATATGCACAGCAGTTGTTCCCGTAAGGGCCGCCTGCCTCTAAACCCCGACTGTAAGAGGGTTGTCAAGACACAAGCTGGTTGGTTTGCTTTGCAGGACAAGTCGTTCGAGCATGATGTGGACACAGCTCTCCGTGCTGCCATTCTCCCACACCTGGTGCAGTTCAAGGCACCAGCTTTACCACGTCGTGCACCCAAGAACCTTGTCTGTTCCTCCCGAATGGGTTCTGCTTCTAGGAGCTACATTGCAAGGACAGCTTCGGCCTCAGCTTGTTTTGGATCAGTCTTGAGGCTTGCGGGGGGGTGTTCCGATTCTCACGTCAGGAAACGGCCACGGGCCCAACATCGGTTCTGGGTGTGTGGATAGGGAGCAAAGCCAAAACCCAGCTTAATTACTCTGGCAGCTGCTTTGGTATCCGGTGGCCTCCAACATGAGGTTCCTTAGGCCTTAGGTTGCCAAGCTTGGTGGCAACCTGATCAAAGGCTTTGGCCGGGATAGGTTGTCGTCACCATTTATGGGCCAAGGCCAGATGGAGCTGGTTAGCCACATCTCGGGCACTGCACTTCCATGGGAGAAGGCTGTTGTTGGGATCTCAGTTGAAAGTGCTTTTCTAGGGCTGGACTTTGCCTGCAGTTCTTGCCTAAGGTGCAGCACTTCCCGGTCACATTCAGAGTGCTGCTAGATTCGTTCATGAACGAGAACCAGATTGCACTTGAGAACATAAAGCTGGAGTTCTGCGGGGACCTCAGCTTGATCGACGATACTGGCACTGAGACATGCAACAACGATTGCTACAGCTCTAGTAGGATGCAGACGATGCTCAATTGTATTGTCCTGCAACTAGTGGAGAACCGACATGTCGCAACGTGCAAGTCTTGCAGTGACTGCGCCAGCCGCGAAACAGAGTGACCTTTCTCGGATTCGCAGTTAAACCCCGCATCTCGGCACGTGGATCTGCGGCTTCAGGCGAGGACCACGGTTACAAGATCAAGGACCCCGAACTCTTGGACAGGTGGCGTCTGTTCCACAGAAGCCATGCTCAGTATCGCGCCTCATAGGCAAACAAGTTCATGCAAACCATGCAGTTTGCCCAGGATCTGTCGCTTAAGACCCATTTCCGCAGATTTGCCCGTGATCTCTCGCCAAGGAATCATTTCCACAGATGAAGCCATGGAGCAGGAGCATTTGTGAGAAACGAATTTTAATGCTCCCAGCTTCGGCTGGAGTGATTCTGACCATTTGAGACCGCACACAACATTCACGCAGCTTGCTTCCATGACAGAGGACCCTAGTGAGGCTTACATAAACCTTCAGCGCAATAACTCATCCCGTCACACTGCACTATGGCTGGTCCTAGCTCTCTCTACCTAGTACGTAGGTGTCCGTGCTACTGGGTATCTCACGACAAGTGGTGAACAAAGCCAATCGGTGCTGGCCATTCTTTTTTGTGGATCTTGGGCTCGAAGCCAGCACCTTTGAGGAAGCAGCTTGCAGAAATCGCGCCAAATGTGCCAAAGGCTCATGGCAGCGAACGAACAAAACCTTGCCAGGTCGTTTGCATGTTGATCTAGTTCAGCCAGATGGCTGCAAGTTGAAGTTGCTTTCAGTATCAGCTGGCCTGTTTTGTGGTCTATTGGATTGCTGAGAATCAATGGCTCCGAATACGTGGTGCACTTTTTCCGGCTGCGGCGTCATCGCGCAGCCACTTCCCAAGCAAGACGCTGATGGCTGACACTGTATCTGCTCTCAGGCTCAAACGCCAATTGCTGGTTCTTGAGCCTTCTCGGGATCCGCTCTATAGTATTTCTGGGAGTTTGCAATGAAAGAAGCAGCCATGGCCAGGTGATGTGCAGCTGGCGCTAAGACAGTGCTGCTGCAGGTTTCACTACGATAGCGAGCCATGCTGTCACTGAAGATGCCCTAACCCTGCTGATCAGAACGCGATGCTGCAAGCATACAAAGGACGCCGTCAGAGATCTTCAGAGCTTGGTCACACCTTCATCCGGTCAGCCCCACCTCATGTCTTCGGCAGGTGGCGCATGTTCTGAAAGAGGTGGTCGAGGAGCGCAAGTCGAAAGCTAACTTGCAGGCCTTCATGCAGATTTGTGCAGAGGCTTGTTTGAGAAGAGTGTCAGTGTTTGGCTCACAGAAATAAAGCTTTCGGAGGTGTTGCTCGACACTCGGTCACAGGCAAGGACCCAGGGCTTTTGCACGATCTGTTGCTTTGCACGGCGCTTGAAGCCTCCAGGGCTATGTTGTCCTGCTCCTGAGCTGCACCCCTCGCTTGGGAAGTCCTGCTCTAAGCCGGCAGTCTCTTGTAGAACACCCAGACTAGCCAGCATGTTGAAATGGATTCATGTTGCGTTGTTGCATGACAGCAGCCTCTCTGCTGCAGCCTGTGGGAATCAGGTGATGGCATGACCAAAGGAGCTATATGCATCGGGCAAGACATCACCGAGATGAAGGATGCAACACTGTCGTGAGGATTTTCCACCGAGTGATGAGATTGTACACAAATCTCCTTCAGTCGTAATTTTCGACCTAGGTGCATGGAGCCAGTTTCGATGCAAGCAGTTGTACTTCAAAAGTACCCCAAATCAACTCAGAGCAAACCCCCTGGCATGATTTGCAATCCGCTTGCTCTTCGGAACTGCTACCGTATCCCTACCTTGTCTTTCGCGGTTCTCCGTGACAACACAAGAGCCCGCCGAGGGGACTAACAGAAAGTGTCTAATCCTGCTGCATGGGGTCACGTGGTCACGCAAGCTGGCTCTGTGGAGCTTGCGGGAGTTGTCGTTTGCAAAGGAGCGGGGTGACGCAGCCACATCACACCACACAAACGACTGATTCAGAGGCGGTGAGGTGGGGTTTCCGCTTAGTACAAAATGATCGTGGTGTTTTACAAGGTCAGGGGGGCCCTCCCCCCTCCCTTAAGGTCCACCTGTTTCCACATCACGGCACCTTGCATTTTATTTTTTACGCAGCCGAGTGGGTCTGCGTAGCAGGTTTAAGTCTGATGCCTCAATAATTGGCTAGGCTGCCACCAGGACAGTTCGAAACTGCTCGTAGATGGTCGACCGGTTTCTCATGCAGGGACAACATTCCGGAGCGCAACGAGGTCTGTCAAGGTACTACGACAATTGTGTGTATGTCTCGTGTGTGGGCCAGTGTGCAGAAGAATGCTACCTGCCATCATCTTGCAGGTTTCAAGCTTCATGACACAAGTGCTTTTGTCCATGCTGCTCAGCATGCACGCAATTGCGACCGAGCTCTATCGCTTCCTTTGTCTGCCCTCCTAGCTTTCGGCCATCATCTCAAGTGTAGTACAATGTCTATTCAAATTGTGTGCGTATCATGATGGCCTTCACCAGCATTTTTCTTCACTTCGCATGGTATGATTGAGCAGAAGATTGTTGTTTGTAATCTTCAATGACCGGGCGTGATGTCATCCTGGCTGCAAGGGCTCTTGTGAGACGCTGACCGCCTACTTTTCGTATCTTTTCACTTGAGCTCGGGGTGGCGTGCAATTGTGGCAGTGCAGTGGCAAATGGTGCTGCAACCGGCAGGAGTTGGATGTTAAGAAGTCCAACATGGCTGCGGCCGTGACGCATGAGCTGAGGCAGGATGCTGCTCGCGTGTTGTAGCTACAGCAGGACTATACTTGGCCTTACTTTAGTTGACAGATTTCTGCTAGTATGTCTACCCGCATCCTTGCAGCTGCTTTTTATTCTTGCATGGGGCAGCTCGGCGTCATGGTCTCACAAGTACCCATAGCACCACACATCGCTTTGGTGTGCACCTGCAGATCGCCCTTACACGGCATCATCGGGCTGTCTGAGCAGCTCATTGGCACTGCAGGCGAGCTGGGGTCTAGAAGGGTCTATGAGCTTGATGCAATACCGTCCGCTTCTGATGCACTGCCAGACTTGAAGTGCGTCTGTCTTGGATCTTGGCTTACTTCACAAATGCAGGCGATGGCATCCGCAAGAAGCAGCTGACCTTGCCCAGGCCTCGGCATGAAGACCGGAGTTTCAGGTACAGATGCACCGCTGCAACCTCAGATGTAAGACATCCGAATCATGGACTGAGCCGTAGGTCGCAGATAGCTCGATTTGGATCTTAGAGTATTGCTTGCATGACGTACAGAACTGTGGCCTCATCGGGCATATCATTTCCAGTGTGGTCCTATCACGTGCACGACGCACCAGGATGACCCATATAAACAGACAGTGACTGTGGTCCTTTACTAAATCCAGGGAGTGTTCCGTTGTTCAGGATTCGTGTGGGCGCAGCGTGAAGTTGTACTGGGCAAGGTCAGCGCTTTCAGTACACCCAACACCTGTGTCTGTTATCAGCCATGGCGGCATCGATGGAGTGCTGTGCGGTGGCGCGAACCGCACAGACCGACGTCGAGTTGCGGGAGTTACGTGAAAGTCTACTATGCCAGCTCAGCAGTCAGCACGAGCTACTTCTGGAGCTATCGGACCATTCAAAACAGGTGAATGGCGAACTTGCGACCATAAGGCACTTCTTGGCAAGTAGCTCCAAGCATTGGCTTTCAGCCAAGACGAAGAGTCTGGATGTTCGCGGAGTTGGCATTCATGGGATTGGCGAGACTCCGAAAATCACCCACACGCCTCGAGGTTGCAACAGCTAGTGGACATGCGCACGTTTAATGTAAGCGCATCAGGGTTTACAGATTCCTGTTGAGTGCGACTTTGCACCAGATCTGGTCTCACCAAAAGCATTTTTCGGCAAAGGCCACCGAAGGCCCTCGGCTGCCTATCAGCACATGGACTCAACAACGCAATGAAACATCACTTGCGTAGGAGTTGTCCCTTTAACAGGAGATGAAAAGTTTGCGTGAGGCTAGGGTGTTAGGACTGTTTTTTAGATCCTAGACAAAGACATGTCGAATCATGTTGTGCATTCTGGATCCGAGGCCTTCTTCCAAGCCTCAGCAGACAAAGGAGTTCACGCCTGTCGCCGTCGCTCAGGTGACGGCGCCGACTGGCAACGTAATGAAGTCTGACGCTTCTCGCACCACTTTCGTTGAAGCTGTCGAGTCCGAGGCCTTTTACAGGGCAGAGGCTGCTGCTCAGAAGGAGAAGAGTGAAAGGCAAGCCTGGCGGTGCTTTTCAGCTCGATCTTTCCGAGGACGTGCCAAAGAGCTGGCCTCTTCACCCTCGCTTGGACACTTCATCCTAATCTTAATCTCGATAAACCTCGTTTGTCTCGGGGTTGAGGTAGACCTGGGCACGACTCTCGGCCAGAATGACATGCCGGAGTGGTTCAACTGGTTCAACTTAGTGGTCGTATGCATTTTCGCTTCCGAGATCGTGTTAAAGATCGTCGGCCTTGGGATTCAAGACTTCGTTTGTGGTGCGGAGCGATGGTGGAATTTCTTTGACACCTTGATTATCGGCGCCTCAATGGTGGAGTCCTTCATCGAGATTTTTGCCAAGGCATCGCTGGGCACCCACATGGTCCACATCCGCTCCCTCCGCTTCGTTCGTGTGATACGTGCGCTCAGAGGCTTTCGGGTAATCAGATTCCTTCGCTATGTCAGCGCCCTTCGCGGTTTGATCTTCTCCATCGTGAGCACCATGGGAAGCCTAATGTGGACTATGGTTTTGCTGGCCCGGACCTGAGGTGTTGCTTCACACCCATGTTCTAGGGAATGTTCGGATCAAGGAGGGATGGATCGAAGTACTAAGGAAGAAGAGAGTCAAGCGAAGAAAGATAAGGAAGGGAAGAGCTTACGAAGCATGTTTCATTTTCACAGCCAGTCTTGGAAAGCAGTGCTTCTCCAGAAGCGATGCTGTACCAGGTAGTAATAGCTAGCTCAAGGAACGGAAGTGACCCCCTCTTCGAAACTTCGTGCTCGCTCTGAGTTGTCGGATCCCGCTTACCAGCGCGGTGGATCAGGGGAACTTGCCATACCTGCTATCCGAGTTTGTCCGAGTTTTAGAAGACTGTGTGTGGAGGCTTTATACGACGCATTGATGGTAGTCTTGACGCTTCATATTCAGATGCAGGTTTAGCCAATGATCTGAAAACACGTTTTTCCCCGATAGCTATCAGGCTTGGGGTCCTTCACTTCTCTGGTCAGGGCTCTGGTCAGGGCTGCCCTGATGGTGGAGAATTTGGGCATCAAAATTCTGGGAGGTCGGTGTCCTGGCCTTCTGGTGAACTTGGGGCGGTGTTCCGGTAGTGTCACGGTCCCTCACAGAGGTCTTCACTTATCAATATCCCTGGCGTGAAGTTGGCGGTGTCTCGGTTGTTGCCCGGATCGGTGTCCAGATCGTTGTCCGGGTCATCAGTGCTCTGGTCATTGTGCCAGTCTAGTCTCGTTCATGTCCTGGTCCTGTCGGTCGTACTCTGTCTCAGTCGGTGTTCCGCATGGTCCGGTCGATGTGCTGGTCGCGTCTCGGTCCCGTGCCTGTGGGTGTCCCGTTCCTGTTCCAAGGATGTCGCAGTCCGTGTCCTCGTCAGGGGTTGCATGCTCGGACATCGACAAAAGTACTTCATGACATCGAAAGACTCATCGAACAGGACTTCCTGACATCGAAAGGTGACTCGTCTCGACCCGCGCATCCCGCCCCGTCCGGTCCCGACATTGAGAAATCTCGGCCGGACATCACAAAAAGCAAGTTTATGTTTAGTTGCCTATGTATTTTTTTAGACGTCTGTGTGGGGGTAAAGCTCCTGTCGTTCCTGTCAGTGTTCTTAGGACAGTAGCAATGTCGGCTATGCCTGCAAATGCATACACACATGTTTGCAATTTATATGGGCGCATACATACATAGACATGCTATGCCATACATGCACGCGCTCCGGACGAGTTTCGGTCGGTGACCCAGTCTGTGTCCCATTCAGCGTCCCAGTGCCACTCCCTGTCGCGAAGCACATCCTATATGCCCTATGCCTATGCCCATGCACAACACGCAGATACTTGACGGACAGAGTTTGCATGCATCCATTGGTAGTCATCGGGATACATTGACGCCGTTGGTAACTCGGCAAAAGGCTTGGCGAAGTAAATTAAACTGTCAGGAGGAGTTGAAGCAGGTTAATCAACCATCCGCTAGCATCCCGGACTCTATTGCAAGTCGGACTAAGGTGTTGCTGTTTTACAGCTTCGGCGTGATTTTTACACAAATCGTGTCTGACCACTGCCGGCTGGAGACCATCAGCGCGACTGGAGATGCGAACGCGGTGCCTTATTGTACGGACGATGATGCTCGCAAGCATTTTCCAACGGTTGCTCGAACGATGCTCTCGCTTTTCATGGTTATTTCGTCGGGTGCTAACTGGCACGAGCTCTTGGAGCCTTTGCAGCGGATCTCCTCATTTGCTGTGGCTTTCTTGATTTTTTACATAGTAATCACGGTTTTCGCTGTGTTGAATGTTGCATCTGGGCCAATTTAGCAGAAGAGTTTTTGGGTACTGTGTGGCACAAGAACTCTGCATCTACAGATGCAGATCTTTTGTTGTTCAACTCGCTTAGTTGTTCTATGGCACGCTGTTTGCATTAAAACGTATGCCGAAGTTACAACATAAACAAAATGTCCTGACACGAGCTATGCCACCATAGCCTGCCGCCACAACGAAAATACCGCAGGTGATTCACTACCTAAGCAAGAATTAAGAAGCAGCAGCAACGATTTCGGGCGGCAGTACATGTGGGTGGGCAGTTCTTTTCTCCACGATTTCAGATTTTTGCCGTGTTGACCGGTCGTTGGCTGCAAGCCGGTTGCTTGCCTGAGCCTTTGCTTCATGCGCGTACTGTGTATTTGGTCAAAGAGCACAAGGTTAAGGACAACCGCTTGAGAGCGGACCATGCTCGACCAATCACGGTATTGAGCGCTTTTTGGCGTTGTTTTTCGAGTGCCTGGCTTAAGATGCCTAAGACCGAGGAGTGGATTCGCTCCTGTCTCCACCCTTCGGTCGTTTACGGCAAGGGTGGTGACCCTCAGGTCGCTGCTGCGCTCGTTTTGCAGTCGTTTGCTGAGGATGGTCACTGCGCTTCTTTGGACTATACCAAATGCTTTGATCTCCTGAGACCTGAAGTTTCGACGGCGATTTTGGAAAAGCTTGGTTTTGATAGTCGTATGACTCAGTTGTGTCGTTTTCTTTGGTGTCGTCATGTTAGATGGCAGTCTTGGAATGGGCATGTTGATGCTGGTCCCGTGCAAGCCCGTTTGGCTATGCCGCAGGGGGACCCGTTTGGACCCCTCATTTGTGCCGTTTGGTTGAGCGCGGGTGCGCGGTTTCTCGACAGAACCCTTCCTGGTCATGTTAGCAGCAGTGGCGTGATGTCTATTTTTATGGACGATCGTACTTTTACTGCCGGCAGGCCTGATTTCTTGCGTGCCAAGTATGATGCTTGGTGCACTTGGTCGCGTTGTGCTGGCTTGGTTGAGTCCGGTGACAAAGCACAGTTTGCTGGTGCTAAGGCGGCACAACAGAGAGCGCTTCGCTCTTACTTTGATGAAGACTCTTTGTGTGCTCAGGTTCTTTTCCTTGGAGTCGTGAGTCGCACTAAGCCTCGCTCCGACCATGATAAGGAAGCTGGTAGAGTGGATGTTGCTATTGAGCGTCTCTCTGTGCTTGGTGCGTTGCGCTTGGGCACTGAGACCTTGGGCAGATATGCCAACATGTTTTGTCTCAGCGTTGTTTCCTATGGTTGGATTGCTCGTCTTCCCACGTGGGCAGTGAGTAATAAACTTTGGGCGGCCGTTAAACGGGCGCAGAAGGTTGCTTGGATGAGTAACAAGTGGCTGCGTGCTTTTGTGCTTGGCGGTAATTCCCATGTTGATGTGCGCAGTGCTTGCAACTTGTTTCGCGTTCTCCATAGGCTTCGCTCCATGGGCAGTTGTGCTTGGAATGATGTGCGTTACACTCCGTTATGGACTTTTCGCAAGTGGTTGAAAGAGCGTGGTTGGAATGAAGCTGCTCCCTGGTTCTGGGAGAGACATGGTCTTCGTTTGTGCCTTCGTGCTAATGCACATGTGCAACGGCAGCTTCACAGCCTTCGCATGGGTTGGAGAGAGTACTGCTGGGAGAAATTTACCATGTGTAACAGACACGAGAGTGTCGACATTGGTGTCGTCTCCCGGCAGACTCTCCGTCAGGTTGATCTCGATCACATGAGGCGGATGATGCAGAGCCCTGGCTGCCGGTCTGTCGCTCTTGGCGCTACCGTGAGCCCTGCGTGGTTCCAAACGTCGCACATGTTTGATGACCGTTGCTTGTGGTGTAGTGGCTTGGGCAATTGGCATCACTTGTGTTGGGAATGTCGCGCTTGTCCGTTTGTTGATTCGCGTCCTCCTGTTCCGCGTTGCCGCCTGTTAAGGCGTTTTGGTTGGGGACCCAAACGTGATGTTAATGTGGTCCTTCCTTGGCTTGCACAGATACAAGAGTGTGTGTGGAAGGCAAGGTGGAGGTCGTAACTTTGTTGTGAAGGTCGTTTGGTGCTTGGTTGTTTTCGTCACGCCCGCTCAGGCTTTGGTTTCTGTGTGGGCGGCTTGTGACTTTTTGTGGACTCTCGTGTCGGGGTCCCCTCTCGCTGGCCCAGGCTCTTCCGTGCCTGTCGTCTGTGAGCAGGGGCCTCTGCTGGCTTGCCTTGGCTTGGTTTGTGTTCCAGGCTTGGCTTGGTTACTCCCTGTGCTGGTTGACAACATGAGTTGTCTTGCGTTGCCTTCGCTTTACTGCTGGCTGCGCCTTGCACTCATGTCACATGGCCACCCCTCCCTTTTGATGTGAGGGGCCCACAGGTGTCCTGTCCATTTGGGGGCTGCCGGCACCAGAACCAAGTTAGTTAGTTAGTCAGATTTCAGGTAACTGGTGTGTTCTGCCACACAGCTATTGAGTCCGCACAAGCGGACAAGGAGATTGCGGTCATGGTGCAAATGGAGAAAGAAGCAGCACATGCACCTTGGATTCATTTGGCAGCAACTACACACTCCTTCAAAACATAGACCTGCGGAGTTGGCTTGCCCACCCGCTACTTGCGGTGCGGCCTTGGGCCACGTCAGGTGCGTGGATTGAAATCCATGTTCAATGAGATGGATGTTGACGGCTCTAACATGGTGAGCGTGAATGAGCTCAAGGCATTGACGGCCGCATACTGCCTGTGTGGGCAGTGAGCCTAGCTGATAGGAGCTGTAGGATGCCGTAGGCATGCCGCAATTTTGACAAATGCTATCGGAAGCCACACAGCAAGTCAGCGTTGGCTGTTGCCACGTCGGAGGCTGCCTTGAATACGATGAAGCTGGCGAGTTTTCTGGAATCCATGGAAATCTCGACCAAAGACGCTGCTCGGCTCGGAAGCTTGGAATATGCCTGGTGCATCCGAGTTCGCAGACCGTTCCATGAAAACGGCTGGTCTTTGAAGCCTGTGCCTGTGTGGATCTGTGTTTTCGGTACTTACTTGATACTTGAATGCTAGCCGGGCTCTTGGCGCATGGCACCACGTTAGATTACAGTGGTGTGTCAAAATCAGCACAGATTAATGATTGAGGTGTGGACACTCTTTCGAATCATCGACAACGATCAAAGCGGTCTCATTGATCTGGAGGTACAGATGCAATGTTTCTTTGCACTAGCCATTCGAGTGCATCGCAGGATCTGTTCGAATTTGTCGGTCACGTCAGGTACTGAATTAGGAGCACAGCTGCGAGGTTCTTCGTTGCCGTGTCCTTGCACGGTCCGTATAGCTATGGCGTTTCAATGTGTGCAAACGAGATAAACAAACGCCTCTCCAGCAGCAACAGTTGGTACTATGTACTCAGGCTATGTGGATTCTTGATCCGAGGGACCATAGGGCGGGATCTTGTGCATGGCATCTTCACTCCAGTTCCGCTGTGATGATGTATGCCCTGGTGCTTGTGTCTTGGTCGTACTATTGCTTGTTATCGTCCGCACCGTCCACACTTCTGATGGCTGGCTTTTCGCCCCGATACACGATGCCTGCTTTGCCGTACGGCGATGTTGGGAAGCTATTTCCACGTCGCTGTGTAATCTTCACCACTCCCCAGCACTGCTACCGGCAAAAGTCCCGCATGGTCTTTCTTTAAAATGGCAAGGCTTCACGTATGGTAAGCGGTGGTCGTGTGAAGCTCTGCCGAGCTGCACAGGAGTTCGTTCAAGGCTGCATGCAGCTGCACGGCCCGGCGAAAAGCTGCTTGGCAGTGATGGATAAAGACATGCCACCGTTGTTAGTGCAGTACTGACCAAGATCGTGTTGGAAGCAAGCTCATTGCCACACGCGCGGTCTGCATTTGACACGAGACTCTTGATTAGACTGAGGCATTCACATTGCTAAGATGAGTCACGAGAACAAGATCACCCGCCAAGCAATCAAGGGCTTATCTCTGAAGTTAGACACAATCAGTCGCCAACTGACGGATATTCAGGCTTGTTGACGAGAAGTTTCACCGTGTCTTTTGCCGGCCTTGCAGCAAGAGGCTGCTGAGCTGGTGACACCTGGCCGTGTGCATCACGGATTCTGTCGCGTGTGACAGCACATCACAGCATGAACAACACAGAGAGAGAGAGAGAGAGAGAGAGAGGCACGCTTTAGGGTTGGAGGGCCGTGACAAGCCTGCTAGGTTCCAGGGCCTATTGTAGAAAGAAACACTGGCGTGCTCACAGCCCTCCATGCCCGCGCAAGAGAGACAGAGCGAGAGAGGGAGGCAGGTGAAGAGAGCCTGGTCAAGAGAAAGAGAGCGAGAGAGAGCGAGAGAGGTGTGTGCTGCAGGCTTTTGCAGTCAGCAGAGACGACGTCCCACTTATACCTGCGGGACGGCGCGTGCTGCATCGAATGGGAAGGAAGCCACAAGACGAGTCGGGTTGCTACTTTCATCATCTTTCATCGACTTGCCAACTCTTGCCAGATGTCGCTGCAGCACTCCATGTATGCTTTCGGCGAAGCGAAAGCAAGCGGATTTTTGCACACGGGTTTCAGCCCTGGCAAGTGAAATGATCAACTCATTTCTGCCACAACCGTTGCAAACTCTGAAGCATCAGGCAGGCTTGCCTGTGTATAGTGCAGCGAGAAAACAGCAAGTCCGCTGAGGCATAGTCTAGACGGTTCCGCTGCAATTCATGTCAGCACCCCCTGATTTTGCGTTGTGGAGTCGAACCGCGAAAACGCTGTTCTCAGCGCATCCTGCTCAGCACGGCCATGCTCAGGATCAAGACCTGTGCGCAGCGCCTGCTCGATGTGGTTACAAACATCATGACCGTGCTTCAGCCTTACAAGCATGCCATAACATTCTTCGAGCCCAGCTGGCACACGGAGCCTTTCAAGCCAAGTGCATGAGGTAGAAGGTCTGACACGGCAATCCAAGTTCAACGAACTGATTTCCGGCGAATACGAAAGCGTCTTCTCAGGTCCACTCTGGTGCAGAAGAAGAAGACACTTCTGGCGAGGTCACAATGTCATGACGAAGTGCTGCCACTGAGTGTAGACTCCAGACCCCAAGAACTCCTGGAAACCCGGCAGGTCTAGAGACGAGGTACTTAGCCGGGTGATGTGTTATTGTGCGTTGCCTTGCCGTTGACTGAACTGCTGAGAGTCTGTACAGAAGCTGTGCCCGGCTGCATAGACATTGCAGAACGGCAGAAGGAATTGAGCCAAGACTGTTGTCCGAGAGTCACGTGCATATCAAGCCTGGAGGGACCCCGTGCAGATCCGCTCCATTCTGGAAGAGGTCCGACGGTTAAAGTCCTGATGCACATTGGGTATTGTAATATCTAATGGGGATGTAGGTTGCAGGAGTGCCCGGCGCAACGAGTTGATCGTATTTTTCAGTGACTGCCGAATGTCCTGTCAGGTCCGCTTGCTGTGCGCGACGGCCGTTGACAAGGTTCAGAGTTGAATGCACAGTGCATTGCTTGCATTGGTCGTTTCTTGAGAAGCGAAAGCACAGGTAGAGCCGGCATAGCAGCTCTTGCACCTGGCAGGCAAATCGGCCAGTGAAAAAGCCGGAGGTGCAGCTTGTGTTTGACATTCCCGAGCAGCCAGAACCTGAGAAGATCAGAACCCAACCCAAGCAGCGAAGTCGCAGGAAGATGCTGTAGTGAACATGTCAAGGTGCTTGTTGTTCCTTGCGGCGAACAATCTGTTGAGTGTCTGCTCTGAGGCTGCCAATTATCGAGGTGCGCTAATGCTGAGGGCAGAGGTACTTGGAAAGACGTGCTCAGCCGTTAGCGAGCGGTTGTTCAGTCCTTTCACATACATGACCCGTGACCCAATAGCAGGCCCCACGACACCAGTACAGAGCTGGGTGATTGCGAGCCCGCAAGCAAAGGTCTATGCCACTGTCACATGCCAGGCAGATGCGCATCGGTGCATGCAGATGTTGTACAACCTGGTCACCAATGTTTTGAGCCTAGCAAGCTGTATCGCGATGCCACGTTTTTTCGTGAACGTCCTCGGCAGTGTCGTCTTTATCATTTTCTTGGCGCCATGCGGGATTTGTAGATCGGACTTCCCATACGCCAATTTTCCATGCCTTTTCGCGCAGCCAGCACCTGTTATAGAGGAAATCGACAGATGTGTGCCCATCACCTTGAAAGATTGGTGTCAATTTCGACCTTCCAGCACAGACACTTCACAGCTCGAGAGAAGTACGCGGCAGTAAGGCTCTCAAGTACACCGTGCAGGGTGAGGTCCACGTCTTGCCCTCGTCAGCTGCTAGTCCATGAGGTCTTGGGCAGCCCCAGAGAACAAGTTACTCGTTGCCACAAGTTCTTGGATCTTTAGGGTACTCGTATATCTGCAAAGAGCAAACCTCGAAGGTCACGGCTGCAGCAGACGACGAAAATCAGACCGTCACTTTGGAAGTGTCCGACACAGGCCATGAAACGTTCCTGCAGCCATCTCGACTTGCCAGAACTTCTGAGCGCAGGCATCGGCATTGGCCAAGCAGCCCGCGAGCGAATCTTTCTACCTTTCGAGCAGGAGGACACCGCTTCGTTTCCGAAGCTGCAAGCTGCCCTGCCGAAGCTCGAGGACCAAAGTGACTCTCGGCGCTACGAGGGTCTTGGCCTCGGCTTGGCGATTTCCCGCGCCGTGGCGGAGAAGCATGGAGGCGCGGTGGAGATTCTTCCGATCATCTCGATCGGCCTCTCGTGCTTTGAGCACATGGCAGGCACCCTCACCGTTGAGAGCGAGGCCTTCAGAAGCGGTCTCTCGTTCCGTGCTGTGGAGCAATATGGAGCAGCTGTGTCACCGCATCTTTGGCGCACTGCGCACTGACCAGCCAGCCGGTGCCGACAGTCACTTCGAGAGACCTCTTCCACTACTGCTGGCGGTTGTGATTGTTCCCCTTCAGATACATTCAGATCACATGCTGTGCAAGCCCGAACGAGAACGTGACAACTTTTGTTGTCCCACGCATAGCTGCACTGCTCGTCATGTTCAGGTTGGCAAAGGCTCGAGCTTCAAAGCAACGTGTCCTGACAAAATTCAAAGTTGCACCCACGTTCTGCATTCGTTCTAGTGTGGACTTGGGCGATTTCTCACCTCGCGCTGTGTGCACGCCAATGGGAGAGACCCAGAACTTGCTGAAACATTTGTTAGTCAGGTTGAGCCGACATGAGTTCAAGCCAGCTAAACGCTCCATCGAGCGCAATTGCAGGTTTCCATTCTCATTTGTGTCTTCGTGCTGACTCGCCCAGGCTGCCATATGAACAGCCCGAGTATTTCGGACGAGCAAGTCCGTGGGACAAGTTGGTGCCACAGCCTCAGGGAGCCCTGCCATGTGTATGGCACATGTATGCAGTGTATCCATCCGCCACAAGCAGCGCGAGTGAACTGATTGGGCGCGATGCAGGTGCTGGGGCTGCTAGGATCCTCTCAAAGGGATCACGGTGTGGAGTTAATTGTCACTTCAAAGAGTTCAGAATTCAGAAGCGGAAACAACGTTGGCCACAGTTTTCTTCCTATGTGCAGGTCGGAAGGACATCAAGCTCCGACAGAGGCCCAGATCACAGAGTCACGCAAAGTCAATGGTCATTGCTTCCAGCCCGCGACCTCAATTTTGGACAGGCCGAGCCAGATGATCCGCTCGACAGAACTCGCAATGTGCTGGTCATAGCCTGCACAGCTTGCAGCGTCTGTATTTGTTGCCACAATTATGTAGTGTCTGCTTGGGGCTCGGAGTGTGGATAAGAGGCTACTCTTGTCGCGGTAGTCACTATCGCAGGATGCAGCTTGCCCAAGATGACCTGGTTTGCATTTCGCAAATGCTTTTCAGTATGTGCTTCAGCCAGTGGCACGGTGCACCCATGAGTTAGCACCTACACATGTACGCTACTGAGGTTCTTCAGCATGCAGAGGCTGCGCACCCGTCCACTCCAGCTTGGCCAACATGACTCGGGAGTCTGAACTTAACTGTAAAATCTGTGTCCCATCGGACTCATGACGACGGGAGGTGTAGTATTGCTCGGGCGGACCTGGCCTGGCCAGGCGGTGTCAGTGCGGCAACATCTGTCGCTGCGGCACGTCTCCGGGCAAGTGCTGGCCACAAACTTAGCTACCTGACATAGACCCAGCTCAAAAGATCTCCAAAGTGCTTGGGACCACATTCTATCACACCTGAGGTTGTTGATGACGATCAGCAAACCCGACACTACGTGCTCCTCCGAAGCTTGCTGCGTCTTCCTGCCGTCGGTGCTACCCAAGCAAGCCTCCCCATACCCCTGTAGGACTAGGCAGTCGATGCTGACTAGGCTGCTTTGCCGGCAATGTTCTGCGTAATTAGCGGGTTCCTGCAGGTTTGGTGGGCGTAACAGCGTCAAAGTAAAACTCGCTTTTCGATGTTTGTGGGAGCCGTTCCTCAGCGTTTTGGGGGCAGGCCAGCTCCATGTACAAGCCCGAAAGTTGTCTTTTCATGTTTACGCTTTTACTTGGCCCTGTGTCTGATGTCCTGGCAGCCGAGCTGGCGTGCATGCGCAGAAGTAGGAAAGCCTTAAAGCGTAAAAGGCGTGTTCTCAGCATAAGGCGTGCAACCGTAAAGGGCGCTGTTTCGGCCTAAGAGCGTAGAAGGTAAAATTCGCTATGACCGGCCCGGGCAGTGCTTGAGGCTGCACGAATTTCCAGGGCTCAATTAAGGGCGTATTGAACAAGATCGAGCTTCAAGGCTTTGGGGCTTCAAGCCTTCAAGGGTTGCATGTAACAGTTGTTGGAGCCAGTCGGCTGACCTGCTGCCCCGACCCCTTGTTGGTGCTTTTTTGGCTTCGCTTTCCTTTCATCGAGTTTTTGATGCCTTCTACTTTGGTGCGGGTGCTTTGCATGTGTTTACGTTGATTTTTGATTTTTGTTGATTTGTTTCGTGTTCAAGACTCGAGTGTTGGGCGTTTTTGCCCACATTTTGTACTGAAGCCGATGTTTTTGCTGTTTCGGAGCCTTCATTTTTGACATTTTCGGTCTTGCTTACCTCTCTCTGCGGTGATTTCGATTCTGAGAAGAGAGCATCTATGGCCTAACCATGATGACGTCCATGGTCTGTTCCGTTCTGAGAAGAGAGCATCCACGGCTGGAGCGCGATGACGTCCATGGTCTGATCAGTTCTGAGAAGAGAGTTTGCATGGCCAACCAGGACGGCGTCCATGGTCTAGTCGGTTCTGTCATTCGCTCTGAGACGAAAGCATCCATGGCCCAAAAATGATGATGTCCTTGGTCCGATGTGTTCAGCAGACTTCACCCAGGGCCCAATCATGTCGGCGTCCGTGGTCTCATCCGTTCTGAGGAGAGAGCATCCATGGCCTAACCATGATGACACTCATGGTCCGCTCCGTTACGAGAAGATGGCATCCATGGCCCATCCATGATGACGTCCGTGGTCTTATCCGCTCTGAGAAGAGCTGGGTTCATGGTTATCGGGAAAGGGTTTTAGTTTAGGCCTGGGCTTTGCAAAGTTTGCCACATTTGGGATTCTGGCTTAGCCCCATGAAACCTTTGGAGCAGAAGCCGTACAGTGCCTGAAGAATCCTGAAGGTAAGCGCCGGCCAGCTCTTCACGGTCACAGGGTTCATGCTTGATTGAAGAGTGCGTGTTTGACTTTCCACCCTGGTTGGCCTTGGGCGATGGAGTGAAATGTCACAGTTGCCCCGTTTCGTTCTTTCTAGAACGTTGCTGTGTTGGCTCGGAGGTTCGTTTGGATGACTTGGACTGCTTCGCAGGCTTTATATGGTGTTACAGTCTTGGTGCAGTGGCTCCATTGCACTTTTTACTTGTTCTTCGCTGTTTGCAGCTTTTTGATATGCTATTAGCTACTTTTCTTTTTTTTTTCTCGCTGGTTTTTCAGTTTTACATGTTTCCCCGGTGGCCCTTACGTTTTTGCTATTTTCGCGCGGTAGACTGTTGAAACAGATTATGGTTTTCAGTTTTTGCTGTTTTACGGCGAGCTGCGGTAGTGCATCATGTATGCGCGGTAGCTTGCTTGATTAGTAATTAGCTTGCCTGCTGATACATTTTCACATTCAACATGCTTTTGCTCGTGTCTGCCTTTGCTTTCGATTTTTTTACGGTTTTCGTTACGGGAGTGCGGCCGGCACCACGTGCCGTATAGGTTTCAACAGCGCTCGGCTAGCACAGCCGCCATGTCAAGAGTGAAACCAGGAGAGAAGACAGAAGCCAAACACATTCGGTCAGTATCATGACATGGGCTGATGGAGGTACGCGACGTTCTGCAAAGGACGCAGGCTGAACGGGGCTCCTGCGCAAGACTGCAAGCCATTTCGCGTCGTGATCTTTTCAGCCGTCATGATTCGAAGCACTTGCAGGATATACGTCAGACATAGTCAGACTGAGTCAGACTAGCATGTTGTGCACGGCGGCCTGCAATCCGGCATGCGCAGGGGCCCAAGCACTAAGTACCTTCGTCAGCAGCGACTGCAGTTTGGCATCGACACTGCTCGCTGTTCAGGCAGAAGTCGTCGAGTGTGCGAGCAGCTTTTGACTCAGCGTGCAGTCGGCTCTGGATCTATGGGTGGGATGTTTGCTCAGACCCTGCTTGAATCCATAGCCTCGGAGGTCAAGTATGCAAAAGCTGCATGCACAAACATGCATGTGCGTAAATTTGTGTGCATGTGTATGTGTGAGTGTATAATATCTATATGTGTACAGTCATGTGTACATTTATATACATCTCTACGTACATATGACGTGCACGTACAGATGGTCACACATTTCCTGCCCCAGACTCTGTCTCTCTGCCTCATTGAGACCCTCACAGGAACGATGCGGGGTCGTCTCACGCTTGAAACTCTGTTGCTGTTGGGCAGCCGGGGATTCATGGGCTGAATGTGGAAAATCATGCCGCTTGTGTGGAACTTCTGGCAGAGGATTCCTGGTTTGGGTTGTCGGTCCCCAGCGATTCGCAGATGGTTTGGAAACGCCACACCATCAGGAATTTAAACAATGTGCAGCTTGTCTTGTGTGTGTGCATGTATATGTGTGCGCGTGTGGGTAATGTTCGACTGTTCGCTTTACCCACGACATTCCATCGGTGAGTTCGGTGTCTTGTTCCATGGTTTTGCTTCGGCGGTGAGGGCGCGAATTGCCACTGAAAGCGCCACACGGGAAGTAGCACGGGCATGACGGCCCAGCAACTAGGTCATTCTCTGCGATGGCAGAAGCAGTGGATTGCCAGCACTGTGGGCAATCGAATTGTCGGTGCACTGGGCCAGCTGTTGTGACTCAGACCCACTCTCCACGCAATCGGACGGAAAAGCCGCATCGGATCACTCAAGCATGGAAGCACATAACGTGTTGAGTCTTGCGCGGTTGAGGCCACGAGTGCATGAGCCTGCTGCATACCGGAGACATGAAGCCCGCGCTCATCATCATGGCTGCTTGGCACAAGAGCTAAGAAGTTGATTAGATTGAAGATGTCTAAACAGTACAGTACGCCGAACGAGGGTGTTGGCTTCCAGAATCAGCAGCAGCTTGACCCAAACCGGCAGCTGCTGATCCTTCCCTGCGTGTTGAATCGGTCTATACATCCTGGCCTCAGGACGTGATCCTATCTGACGACACTCAGGCGTGGCAGTTTCGGAGCTGTGATTCACGCACAGGCTGAGGCTGAGGCTGAGGAGATCCCGAAACCTCACACTGAGACATCTGCGCCGTAGTACAATGCAGTGATTGGCGAAGCAGGCGAAACAGTCTCGAAATCCCTCATCGACATGGCAAACAGCCCTTGAGCTAGAAGCTGCTTTGCTGCTGAATGTGCATTTGATAGCGGGATGTGCAGAAGGGCTTGGAGATTGTGCACGAACAGTGCAAATCTTTGTTGAGCCCCCTAAGCACTGCACTAGCTGTTTCATGACCAGAATGTATTCGATACTACTGCCATTAGATAGACTGGCATTGTGTCTTAGATAGACAGGCATTGTGCCTTGGAAATTTATGTGTTGCCTGATGCTGCTTCGGCTTTCAAAGCAGCTTCCCTGCTTCAAGCGGGGCTTGATGGCCCCCCATGGCATTGGTGACTGTGAGTTGAGCGCTTCGGCAAACTGGAAGTATGGAGTCCTCGTCGACTTTGCCTACACTGAAGTTTCCCTTAAGGGATGCTTTGCAGGCACTTCAAGAGTCTGCCAATGGTCCTCCATCTGTGAGGACCGCTATGATGCACTCTGCTTCAGCAGGTGCTCACGGGCCCTACAAGGTTGGGAGCACAGCGAAAACTCGTGCGTTGAAGAGGATCGGTCGCATCAAGCGTCGTGGTGAACACCTGGGGGGAGGTTACGCAGAGCAGCGCCCGATGAGTACGCCCCGCGCTCCACCGGAGTGCGATCGACCGAGATCAGTGCCGAAGTCTGTTCCATCTGCAGTGAGCAGGAGCAAAGTGGAGATGATCCAGTTTACTCAAGACGCGGCTATCCATTCATGGCCGCAGGTGCAGAAGTCGCAGTCGATGCCGGAGTCTCGCCGGCAAATATCTAACTCAGTATCTTCGCTGCAAACCAGCAAATTGGAGTGTGAAGGGGTTTGGTCATCTGAGGACCTCAGCCACACGTCCACTAAAGCTCAGATGGGTGCTAGCACCTCCAGCCTTGGCAGCCCTGTTGAAATTCGGCCGACTTGGACTTCCGCCGCGCGGGCGGTCTTGGGCCATGGCCGGCGACAGGCAACGACCAAGTCCAAGAGCGCGCAGAGCTTAGAGGACTTGGAGAAGACGGACTTGTCGGAGCTGCCTCCCGCAGGCAGGGCTTCCAAGCCAAGACTGAACGAATCAGAAACGCATGTTATGCAGCACTGCTGCACACCCCTCCCTGTAAGCGTATCTACATAACCGCCCGCCGGCGGAGCTCCTCCTTCCTGGGATTTAAGAGTCGGACTAAGAGTCGAATGTCCACAGTAGCCACAGTAGTAGCCATAGTAACAGTTACTAGTGGTAGTGGTACTAGTCGTAGTAGTCGTAGTCAGTGAGATCTTGGGATTCCAAAGTCCGAAAGGCCAGGCCGGGCTTCTCAGTCCATTCGTGGCCTCAGTGTTCACCAAAGTGCCAAGATGCACCGCTCTTCAGCCGCCTTTGCTCGGTCAGTGTTCAGATGCCTCAGACAGTAACTCAATCAATGTTTTCGGGAGCACTGCTTTCAACAAATACGGGCCTGAGGAACTGTACATTGCTGCGGCATCCCAATACAAATCGAGGCAACCAGTAACGCAGGATAATTTTCACACTTTTGGAAATTCCCAGACCAATCAGCGATTCGCAGGTTCATAGTTGTTTGCGTTGGTAGTTGTTCGGGTAGCGGCGTGCTTTAACATGGAATGGCATTAATCTTTAGGTGTTGATGAGAAGCCACGCGCTGAAAGATATTTGATTGTTTTCTGTCCCAGGCAATGGCGGAATGGTGGGTTTGGTTAAACAGTCAGAAATTTCATGGGCGCACGTGCTAGTGGTGCAGATGGTGGGCATATACCGCAAGATGTATAGAGGCACGCCCATTTAGCAATTATGTCACGCATGCAGAGGACCGTTTTTCGTCGCTAGCGTCGCACTTGCAACCCGCACCTTCTGAGCATTTCTGGCACTGGCCACAGTTTGGGAACGCTCGCAGGCCTATCACGAGACTCTTCGTGGTGCGGTGCGACCTTGGCAACGTTTCCAGGCCTTCCACGCCCCGTTAAAGACTGGGTGCCTCAGCATTGAACGTGGAGACGGAGAGAGCGAGAGCACCAGCAAAGGTTAAGAGAAGCATGCTATGCTAGGTGCGCCCTTGGCAACTCTAAGTTCATTTGTTTGTGGGGACATGTGCCCGGTTCTCGAAGATGTTTAAATGCAAGGCAAGTTCAGGCTTGGAGTTTACGGACGGTGGTCTTGGCATCGGTTCACGCAACTTGGCTGCTTTGTGCTGATTAGACCCCGCTGCTCATCCAGAGTCTCTTGTTCATGAGCCTCCATCCATGAGGTGACAACCCCGAGTACAAAAACTTCGCTGCGCGATCTCCGGGTCCAACTAAGTCGTAGGGACATGTGTCCATGCCACACGTTGCATGGTGTTGGTCGTCATACAACAGTGCTGGTGTTAGCTTCGGGCCATTTCCATGTGACGTGCTTGGGCACTGTGTTTCAGCCGACAGCTTGCCTACGTTGGATGTTCGCAGGTTTTGTTTACACGGTGCAGAGCGGCAGCGTCAGCCTCTGGATCACTGGCTGCACTGGTGTGTTTGTGTTTGTGTGTGTGTGTGTGTGTTTTGGTTGTTCCTCGTAAGTGTACTCTATGCATTGAAGAAGCGTACAGCCAACTTGCTGCTCTGTATGAACGGCTGGCCAAGAAGCTCCTTTGGCAGGACTGCCAAACAGATAAAATGCAAAGATTGCTTTATGCGCAAGCAGGTGCATGCTTGAGCTCATGTTGCTGTTTGCTTGTAAGTATACATAAGATGCGGTGTCAGGGACAATAGCATTGAAGCACAGGCTGGCCGCCAGCTAATGCTGTAGAAGTGTTCGCAACTCAGCTCAAGTTGTGTGCATCCTTCATTTAGGAATTCATCGGCTTCCCTCCCAACGAAGCAGCCGCTTTCGCTACTTGGCTGAATGCATGCGGCGGATTCTTGAGTTCAGGCAGCAGTACATACTCCTTCTTGCAAAATGCCGACTTCAAAGCTGGCACCGGCAGTCTCCACTGCGGAGTCACCCGCTCGAGAGGCAGCATACCTCGTCGGCTTCGGCTCGCTTGGGTACACGCATCTTGCTCCAAGTGAAGCACGCGCCTGGTCAGAGTTTTTGAGCTGATCAGAAGAGTGTCGAACTCTAAGGCAGGGATCCTCAGGCACGCTATGAGAGATACTTGGCCGCTTGAAGTCCTGCACGTCTCGGGCAAGTAGGACGGAGACTTAGCCTTGCATTGGCACCAAGGGAAGCCGGGGCCTGGCTACTACGAGGTTCCCGGCTTCACCGAGGCACGCAAGAATGGCTTAAGTCCGCACACAAAAAACCGTCCTGGGCCCTCGGCTTGCCTCGGTCTACCATGTCCCGATCGTTCCGGACATACTCGGTGGAACACAGCTTTAGGTCCTGCAGTGGGAGCACCCTCGGCTCGTCTCTGCCTATTTTCAAGCCCATCTGGTGTCAAGCCAAGGTTGCCAACGTTTGACGAAAACAAATCCATTGGTCAAGAAAGGTTCTGGCTTGAGTGTGTGATTGTTACAGGAATCGGGCTTTTGCAGACTGGTTGCACATTTGGAGCTCATTGACTCATATTGCCACACCGAGTAGTTTCCACATCAGGCGCCTTCCTTACGAGTCGCTACGAGTTTGCACGTTGCATTCGTGATTTCGACATCAGAACAGTACCTGACGAATTAGTGCTGTAGTCTGCAAAAACCTTTTGTGGAGTAAACCCGATCCAACTGCAATGTCCGTCGAGCAGCACTATGTTTTTTAGAAGTTGATTCGATAAATACGCCTGAGCGCGTCGAAGCTGCCTTTGTGTCTCCTCCGTGCCTGAGACAAGAAGAATCACTCTAGTGAGTCTAGTAAGTCTAGTAGAAGGGCCAGCTCGAGGCTCGCTACCGGCATCCTCGCCTGCGCTTCGGCGCGCAGCGCGGGTTCGTGGGGTGGGGGTGGGAGTGGGGCTTTGGGGTGGGGGGCACTCCTTCGACCTCAGAAAGCAAGAAAGCGAGAGGGAGGTGGCCGCCAGGTGGCGCTGGCAATGGGCATTCGCTAACTTCGCTACTAATAATCGTGTCTGCCGAACTTGTGAAACTTGGGACCCTGGAGGAGCTGCTGAGGAAGGTCGCAAAGCGACCTGGCTTCCAACCGCTCCATGCACGCCGCAAACGAATGTAGCAGGTCTTCCGAAATATTTATTTGGTGCATAACTATCACTGAGTGAGGGCAAGGAAGTGTTGGTGGTTCCCGGGCGAAAGTTTCCAGCTCTTGTTAATTATGTTCTGGGTTCTTGCCAGCTGTTGTTACTTTGCACCGTTCCTGCAGCCTAGGAAGCATAGGCAGAGAGGCGCGCTGCATGGGCCAAGTAAGGGCAGATAAGCGGATACAGCAGGCAAAATCAGAAGCCAGGCAAGACTGGCGCCGGCTCATGCGGAAGCGCATCCTTCAACTTAAACCTCATCGGCACACAGTAAGATATCACCATTTTTGTTAGTGATTGATGGTCCTTCGGCCGACTCCGGAAACCAGCAGCACCGAGCACCCTCCCAGGGATCTGCCATCAAGGAAGGCAGTAATGGTGAATGTGCCTGGCACCTCTTCAACAGAGCTGCATCGGCAAATGCTGACAAGCGGCAAGCTTCAGGGAATGCGACCATCGCACAGAGGGACGGCAGCTAATGTCAGAGAAAGTCTTCGATGTGTATGTCTGCGTGTAAGGGTATCTGCACGTAAAGTGTGTTCGTGTGGGTCTAGCTGTCTATGTAATCCATCAGTCAGCCAGTCAGTCAGTCTGTCTGTCTGCGTATCTCTTTACGTATTTGTCTGTCTGTTTGTCTGTCTACCCACCCATCTATCCATCCAGTATTCGATCTCTCGATCTAAGATCCGTCCGTCCGTCCATCCAAACATCCATCCCTCCCTCCCTCCCTCCATGCATCCATCTATCCATCCACCCACATGTGCGTGCGTGTGTGTGTGTGTGTGTGTCTCTCACTCTCACTGCCACTCTCACTCTCACTTTCACTCTCACTCTCTCAATCTCTCACTCTCTCACTCACTCACTCTCTTTGTCTCTCTCTCTCTCTCTCTCTCTCTGTCTCTCTCGCTCTCTCTCTCTCTCTCTCTGTCTCTCTCTCTCTCTCTCTCTCTCTCTCTGTGTCTCTCTCTCCGCTTACATATGCATGCATAACTTCACATATATGTATATATACACTATGTAATAGGTGTATACATACATATGCACGCATGCACAATTGCATGTATATATATATACATATATATATATATATATATATATATGCATATATACATATATGTATAGAGAGAGTGTCTGCCTCCACGGCGTACCTTTCTGTGTGTATATATATATATATATATACACACGCACAGAGACATACACGTATATATGTGTATATACATATATGTATAGTATATATGCACACACACACACGATCCAGACTCACGCCAAACGAAGAGCCAAACGGCCGGCCTGTCTTGAGCGAGCCCTTTGCAGTGGTTGACCATTCATTTCGAGTATTTCAGTATTTCTTAGTCCGGGCCTTTGGGCATGTTTAGTTTCACGCGGAACTAGAAGAGCTATTCGGCGGAGCATCGGAGGAGCATCCGCACTGAGTCTCACCCAGAATGGTGATTTGCGAGCACGAAAGTGTGACAAAAGCAGGGCAAGGGCTCAAACCAGAAGTGGTATCCGTGGGAAGACGAGGTTGGTCATGGTCGGAATTTGCAGACAATAGTCAGACCAGGGTCGGTCGGGTTTTGCACATGCCGCGGTCGTGTAAGCTTGTGAAAGTTAGTTCCTGCGCCGCCCAGATGCCCCCCCTCCGAGCTATCGAAACACTTGCGGGGCCGATATGTTCAGAGAATGCACATCCCATCGACACGACCTTTCAGCTACGTCTTGGTGACTTTCACCGTTCGGTTTGTTGTGGTGCCGTGCTGGGCTTTGACAAATTTGCAAGACCACGTTCTGCCACACGGCCGTCGCAGGGGTTCGACTTGCTGAAGTGGCTGCGCGCCCGCTATGGCTTCCTCGAGCCCCGATCTCGTACTCTGCGCTTCCACCGTAGTTACAGAATGGACAATTGACTGCTTCAAGTCTAACCCACTTTAAGTTGGTCAATGAGGAGCTGGCAGCATACATGCTTGCCAAGCATGAGGCTGCCCATCATCGTCATATCCAGCGACACATCCCGTGAGTGCATGCCGAATCCTGAGTGAGCATGGGCGGATTGTGTTTCAATTTCCACTAGTGTCGTGTTAGTCTTGGTCCTGTTCGACCGACGACCGTCATCTTGCGTTCTTCGTATCACAATGGCCAAGTCCACCACCAGGTTGTCTGCTATTGAAGCTGGGTGCAATGAGTGGCTCAAGAAGCCCTTCAACAAGGAGGCTCGACAGTCTCCACGGATAGGAACCGTCACCCGCTGCAGAATTACTGCAGGGGTTCCAAAAATCTTGGGGGTGTTGATAGTTTCAGATCCTGCGATGCATCTTTCGTACAGACCTTGGTGTCCAAACTTTGCAGATAGGGCCGGAAGAGTCTGTCTGACTCCAGCCTGCTGTCATCATTGCATTGGTGCGATGCAGGAACTCCTGGCTCGACTTTCGCTTGCGATGCGGGCTGCAGACTCAAAGCGTCAATCCTTGTTTCTCGCGATGTCCGAGTAATGGTGTAACCCAATGTATGGTATATCCGGAGGGCTGCAAAGTGGCAATCGCAACCACAGGAGATGTGTACGAAAGGAAGCGGCTGCGTCCATCGGGCCACTGTCTTTCCAGGGACTTCACTGCTGAGCTTTGGGCATCAGCGCTTCCTGTATTCATTCCTGTTGGGTTTCCTTTGGTATGCTGCTGTCAAGTCAGACCCGAAGCCTCGAGGATATCGGATACAGTTCAACATCTCGAACCCCGAGTCCGGCCAGAGCCCTGCTCCCTGAGCCTGTAAGTCACCACCTAGACGAATTCAGTCCGAAGTCCGTAAGGCTGACTAGGCCCAGGCTTCGAGGCTTCATCCAAAGACCAGGTCATAGCAGACACTTATAGACTTCGTACCGGAACTTCCGACACAAGCCGCGCTTTTTGGTCCAAACTGCGCGATTGAAGCCGGGATCTTTTTCCAAAGTCTTTTTCGAGCCGTGCTTATGCGGGGATGGCGAGCAAACTTGCCCCCTCCTTGAGGATTGGAGGCAAATCTGGTTGAGCAGTATTCCGCTTGTTGAGCGCCAATTTCCGCATTCCTTGTCGGATGAGGAGCACCTTCATTTCTTGTTTATGCCCGTGAGTCTGTGGCGCACACATGCCGCGATATTCCCGCACATCACTTTTGCGTCCAATGTATGTCAGGCTCAACGTTCAAAAGCCTCGGGCCTGGAGCCTCATGCTCCGTTGTATGGTAATGCAACGAGTGGTTAAAATTCTCACCTGTACATACTGACCGTATTGCCGTATTGACGCTTGTTCCAGGACTCTTGCTTGCTGAGGGTCGTTGGATACCAAGTATAAGCGAGTGGAGTGCGAAACAGGGCTCGCTGCCAGTCTCGGGAATGAGCAGTTGGATGACGGATGGTGCCAGGATGAACGAGGAAAGCCAAGAAATTTCCGCACTGCGCAGTTGCACATGTGTTGGCTTGCATTTACTAGCAGGAGACACTAGAAGCCACTCGGTTTGGGTTGCGAATCGCTTCTCAGAGCAACCGAAGAAGGTCGCTGATGAAGTGGCCTCGAATGGCCTTTGTCCCGGTCTGAGCTCTGCCTGCTCGGAGGAGTGCCTGGGGGTCCGGAAACACGAAGCCGTCAGGAAGCCATGCACACAGCCTCACAGCTTCCTTGACCTTATCAGCCTTATCAGATGCAGAGACACTTGAGGTAGAGCTCACCTCAGCCATAGATGGAACGGAAGGGACGGATCTGCGCAACATGGGCTGGCTTGATTTGGTTGGAGCTTCAAGTTGAGAGGACATTCGTGGCGTCGCCATGCACATGCCCGACTTGCAAAAGCGCCGTTCAAGCGCGTCCAGGCAGGAAGTGCTGGTGGTGCATGCATGAGGTGAAGCCATGCGGAAGACAGGCAATCATGAGGTGTATGACGTGAACACTGAACACTACATGCGAGACGACTTCGCAGCACAGGCTGTCGGTTCCTTCATCCCGCTTGGGGCGGCCGTCACTCGAGAGTTTCTCGGCAGTCGAGAGAGATTTCAAGAAAGATGCCCAGGCCAACAGAGCAGACAGAGTAGACCAATCTAGTAGCCATTGTTTCTCTACATTCGGTGTCTCGCACTATCAGCGCTAACAGAAATCTCACTATTAATTAGCCTACGTCGCCCAGATCCTTAGCACTGGCAAGACAGGATGGCAGAATGCATTTGTAGGAGGCAGGGACAGCCAACCAGCACAAAGCTTCGAGGCAACGACCTGGTACCACTTCCCTGTCTTATCGGGTCGTGTGCTCACACAGGGTTCCTTCAATGCGTGCTACCGGCTGACTGCACGAATCGTGCCAGAATGTCGCGCCTCGCAGCGTTTCCAGCGGCTTGGTACTTCCCATGCCTGAGTGCTTGCGACTGAGACGACTGGATTCCTTGCTTCGGCCAGAGTCGGCAGAAATTCGGATGCTCGCTGTTACTGTGGAAGAGATGCCTTGACCGGCATTGCCCGATGAAGAGGGTGTTGGATGTGTAAGTCTGAGTTTTGGCCTGAGGCGAGGAAGAGTCGCATTCCTCCAGCGACTCTTCAGACGAGCCTGGAGCCGAAACCTTCTTTTTAGACAGCGACTCGACTTGTCTCAGTTGGACTCCATGGAGCTTAGGCCAAGCGCGCAGGTTACGAAGACAAAGTCCAACAAGTCCAACTCAAGCCACCTGGTTCAAGAAGACCCTTCTTCCCATTGCAAGCGAAACGATTCATTACTTTTGACCGCTTCAGACACACCCGACATATTTACATTGCATATGATGCCCCCTGAAAGCGAGGATTTTTTTTGTGTGTGTGTGTGTGCACGCAAGGTGTCAGAGAGCCCGCCTTCCAGCAGGTCCTTTCACGTACGGCGACTTGGCGGATGTTTCAGTTCAGCTTGAGGTGAGCACAGCAAGAAGTGCTCGGCCACTGCATGTTTAGATGCAAGCAGCATGCACGATAAAGCTTGCAGTTAATTATCTTTGTGAACCCGCCGCCACACCAAACAGGCGCAGATGCCGAAATGCCTGAAAGCTCCCGAAGTTTGTGGAAGCAGGAAACATCGCCAAAGGCAGCACCCACGAGCCCGGTAGTGCCTTGGCCGCAGCGGCACGGCACAGCAAGAGCACGAGGGCACAGGGCGGAAACCGAAAGGATGCCTTGTGTATGAGAGTGCCAACGGGCCGGCGGGAGGTGGCTTTGGAGCTGAGAGCTGTGCCGAGGCTTTTAAGCCAGTCCTAGCCGTCCTAGCCTGAAACAGCCCGGCAACAGCGAGCTCAGCGAGCCATGAACTCTGTCTATCTCTGTCTGGATTGCAGGAGCGAGTCCCATCAGCATCTGCTCGCCGTCGCAGTGGTCCGCAGGCTTTCCTGAAGTGTAACGCAGATGGCAAGGCACCAGGAACGGATTGCTGGCTCTGCAGCAAGTCACTTCGGTCCGGACATGTGCTGCTCCGGTCTGCATATGTCAGCATTCGCTTACTCCGAAGGGGCGCTCTGAACTCTGAGAAGGTGCCGCCAGAACAGTTCCACCAGCTTCACGGACTGGACTGCTACCGGTAGCTCGCCGCAATGTTTTGCTCGTGGGCTCAGTGAACCATTGCGTTAGTCGAATTTGCTGCTTCATGAAGCCCTTCACTGAATGGGAGTCGTGTCTTGTTGGATGATTGATTCTGTGGCAGTCCGTGTATCTTGGTCAGTGTGACGGCCGGAAGTTGGCATTCTCGTGTCCTTCGCATCTCCACACCGGCGCTGGGCTAATCTGGGGCATTGCACCTCCCTCAGGCTGCTCGGGCGACTTCTCCCTGTGGAAGCCGTCTGGAACCTCAGTCCCCTCATTGGACACAGAATACTCGGAGCAATTTTCGAAGCTTCTGTCGCCACGCACGCGCAGGTGCAGCAACTCGTATGCGGCGAAGTGATCGAGCCGCAGAGGTGCCCCAATGCGGCAGTGCTGACCGCCTCGCTGCAGGCGGCATCAGAATTCCAGCGAACTGCATGCCCCAAGACATCACTCATGACGAGTTCTGTCCGCGACCTTCGCCTTCGCTCTAAAGCTTGCTGCCAGGACAGCCCCCAAAGTTGTACTTAGTCACGACTGCAGAGACGCATTAGCTTGAAGTATGAGCTGGACGAAGCAGAGGCGAATAGACGGGTGCATGTGCAGTATATCAACTGCCAGGGCGTGGATGACGTCGAGTCAGATGTTCTCATGAATGCTCTGGGCTTTTTGGCTGCCTATATGAAGACATGAAAGCACAAGTATCTGCCCTGCGGTTTCGTGTGATGTTGTTCAGCGAGTTTCTACATGGAAGTCGACATACTACCGGAGAAGTCCATGCTGACATATGCCAACCATGCTGCACGACTTTTCTGAACCTGGATGTGCGGCCATCGCTGTAAGTTTATCCTGTAGGGCCCGAGGAGAAGGACTGCACGTGCTGCCTTGCGAGGTCACTTCCTCGATGTACTTGGCACGCTTAGCTCGAAGCCTCAGATGGCTCGGATGAGATGCATTCTTGCTTGACTTCCTTCTGTGCCCACTCGCAACTTTGCTTCGCACGGTGTGGCGGCATCGCAGCCCTCACCTCGACACAAGGGATGGGGATCTTGCTGAGCCGGTCCCAGGCACTGCTGAAGGAATCGTCTTCTTCTCGTCTGCTGCCATGGCCTCGGTCCTCAAAGACTCACAGACACCCCGCCAGCTCTTGTCTTTGAATGCACGCTCTGATGCGGACGGAGGGGGCTGCAGAGTGCCTGCAAGCAGGAGCTGGGGGCAAGCTTCGTGGCAGTCTCGGGACTGCAAGGTACGAATCCTGATGGAGCTCGATGGTCCCTGTCCGATTTGCCATGGCTGCAACCCCTTGTCTTGGACAGGCACGCCTGGTCACGAGATTCAGTTGGTGAGGTTTGCCCTGGCAATGCGGGACCGGAGAGGGCTTCAAGAACTGCGATCCTCCATTCACGAGAGCTTGCCACAATTCAAGATGTGTGGCCGAGCGCTGCTTTAGGCAGGCTCTAAAAGCATGCATTTTTGTCCCTAGGCCGCCCCGAGACAGCCTCAACGTTTTGGGGCGCCAGTGGGAGGCACTCCACCGTCGCAAGAAAAACGATAATCCCACGCAACAGGCACGCGGCGAAAACATAACTGACAGGCACATAAAGAGAAACACAGACAAAGAAGAGAAGCACCCGCTATCCCTGCCAACACCGCAGTGAGATGTGGCGTTGTTTTTCGCAGCTTGGCCCAAAACGCAGGAGGTGCTTGCGGGTTCTCTTCACTATCTGGCCGTGCAGATTCAGTTCTGACGCTGAGGATGGCGCAATTCCAGGATTTTCGTCGTTTCTTTGTCGGCCATTTTCACCCCTTGGCTGCTGGCTTGCCTTCTTGCAGCCCAACCTTCGTCTTCCGTTCTACCTTTCTTTCTCTCTTTCTCTCTTGCTCCGTCTTTCTCGCTGATTGTCCCAGGGGTCTAGGCTCACGTCTTGGGGAGCTTGGGGCTGGCTCGAAAATAGCGTTTTTTCCTCCACGAAAGACCCCGTGGATCCCAGAAGTTGTTCTTGTCAGGGATGTGCAAGCCGACGCAATGCCACCCCATACAGGAAAAACTATCCCATGTCGTCGTAGTGCACAAAAGTCCTGCAGCATTGTCTTGGTTCTCAAAGGAAGCATGTTGAAAGATCAGGGCGCAAAAACCGACCCCGTGGGTCCCAGAACACGAGCTATAGAATCAGAGCAGTGGTAGCCTCGACAAGGACTCTTTGCACCATGAAGGAGTGTAGCAGTTCGTGGATTTCAGGGAGAGCGAAGGAACAGCAAAAGACACTGTCATTCCTTGCAGGACCGGCTGGATGAGTTGAGGCTGGAGCTTCATCATCTGCACTGCAGATTGTTAGTCGCCTTGTGCACACATCTGCATGCCTTCGCGTGTGCTGGTGTTGGCAATACTTCGGAAAGTATCTATTCTGCATTGAAACTCAGTATGAATGGCATTCGGGGCTCTGGATCATCTCTCGGCGTAGACATGACAGCATGGCACCGAAATGTAGGATGGGCTGACAGCCGGGATGCGGTATGCTCTGCGTGTAATGGACGTAATGTCAGGGAATCATGCTAGTTGCGCGGTCGTGAGCCGGAAAGCTGGGACTTCTGGTTGAGAGCGTGCGTGTGTGTGCGTGTGTGCGTGTGTGGTGTGTTTGTGTGTGTGTGTGTGTGATTTTGAGTGAGTGAGTGTGTGTCTCACACGTCTGACTGTCCGTCAGTGTCAGTTTTGACTGCTGCCAGCCCGTCTGTGCACACATGTGCCATACGCGGCCAAAAGATGCAACACTGCATGCTCGCGAATGTCCGCTTCCTTTACAAAGGATACCAAGGACACAGACTTGCTACATGTGCACAAGTTGTGGACCAGTAAGATGTGGAGCTCGTTGACTTTTAGTCGCTGTGTCTGCTCGTCTTAGCAAGAAGAAACAATCAGGCAGTGGAGGATGTGGGACTAGCCCCTGCAGCTGCCGTTCAGTTCAGACGCATGAGTTTGAGAAGGGACGGTTTTGAGCAGCCAGGAAAGCGCTTTCCTCGGCCGGCGAGGTCCGAGCACACCGGCATTCGACGATCCGCGCCCAGTAGTTGCAAGAGTCTGCAACTTGCGAATGGAGGCCTCGCAGCTGTCCCTGGCCATCGGTCTTGACATGGGCAAAGCCACACGACTCGTCACCTAGACGAATTACGAACAAATGCTGTCGTTGTGAGCCGCCTCATCTTCTAAGGTCCTCGGACGACTGAGCCCTCATGCCGAAGTCTCAACTTGCGTGGTTTTGCAGTGAAGGGCCAGGCCATCTCCGAAGCATATTCATTGAGAATCATGCCGATTTCGCTTGCTTGTAGCCTCGGTAAGGTCACCATCACTGGTCCAACGATGCGAAAAGCCAGGCAGACCAGAGACAAAAGACGGTAATATGAAAACACTGCGGCGCGTTGAACACAGTGGCTACTTGCTTCGGCAATCAGGCTGTTGTGTGACGAGGCAGGCATCCAGACCAACAGACAGGCCGTGTCGGGTGCAAGAGGGGTGATATGGCATTGTGAAGCGCGAGAAGCTTCGACCGAGCTGTTCATATGCAGTTTATGTGTGCGCGTGTGTATACAAGCATAAATGCAAGTAAGCAAATGCTGGTAAATAGATACTAGGTACGTAAGTAGAATCTAAGTAGAATTAGTTGATACATACTAAGTAAATAGAAATACATGTACATGTATATACACACATGAAAACTTTCTACAGATATAAACATGTAAACAAACAAGTAGCATGTAAACATATATATATATATATGTATACACACACACACATATATATATATATGTATACATGTATCATGTGTATGCATCTGTACACATACATACACGCACATATCTCTCACTATATATATATATATATATATATATATATATATATCACGGCATCCGCCGCGGGACGAAGGATTCTCTGGCCAATACGCGAGCAAGGAACCTCTATGTTATACGCCTGTATGCATGCTTGTTACGTACGAAGCTGGGACACTGTCTTTCATGCTCCAGAGACGACTGCCCAAGGGCTTCACGCAGATCTTTGTCTCTCACCTGGTGCTTCGTCGAATAGGTGCCGTCTCTAGTGTGACATGGTTCAGCCAGTAAATTTCATGGACGAGGGTGTCCTTTTGCTCGAAGATGCACGACATGGCTCAGGTGCCGTCCTTTCCACGTTGCCCATCAAGCCGGTGGACGTCCAAACAGGAGGGGATTCGTATTGGAGAGCAGCCCACAAGCTCATAGTCCATAGTCAGGCGCACACACGTCTGCGTTGATCCTTGTCAACCGCACCGTGCAGGGCTGCCCGCTGCGCAGACTCTGTCACAGGAGGCCGGAACCTCAGCAGCTTCTGCCTAGGGCCTAGGAGCAACTAGCACATTGCCTTCTTGGGAGACGGTTGTTCGCTTCGACATGATCAGTTTCGAACGCAGACCTCAGGAGTCGAGCCAGATATTTGCCCCGAGCTGAGAGCAGGAAACGTCTCCCAACCTAGCAATACCCGTGAGGACCTGTAATACACTCAAGACTGCGCCACACGCACCGGCAATGCTTGACTACATGAGCAAGACATGCGATCTCGCATCCAACACAGGCCAAGGCATGGCACAACTGAGTAGGACTAGGACTGCAGTGCTCTTGTATGGCACTCTTGCCGGTTTTTAGCCAAGGCCCTCTTGCAGCCGAACGAAGTCTGCCTCTTATGTTCTCTGATGGAAGACGGAGGATGTTGCCGTTGGAGCTGGTTCTTCTGAGCGCTAGCGTCGCTCGAGGAATTCATGGGGACCTCGAAGCAAAGCGCTGCCAGCGCCGCGCCGGTCAGCTCATCGCGAGTAAGCTTCGATGTGCAGAGCGACACTTGACCTCAATCATTTGACTGCGATGTCCTTGCCCCGGCACCGATATTCTGAGGCTTTCAGCCCAGCTTGTTTTGTGCATGTCAGCACCGGCCCGGCTTCGATGAACTTCATGTTAGCTACTGTGGCCGCTGTCACGCGATCTTGCTTTCTCGGGCATGTGTAGAGCACGTCCTGACATTCCCTTTTCAGAACGCACACACGGGAGACTTGCAGAGACACCTCTTAGATGGGCATTCCCGGCAGCATTCCTCCAATTCTCTTCATGGGCAGTTCAAAGGAAACGTCGTGGCATCGGTCTTCCGAGTAGTTCTGCTGAGGAGCATGTTGGAGCTTGCTCTATGGCCCTTGTCGCACGCATGTATCCCCCGAGGACGGGTATGCAACCACTCCAAGCAGCCCCAGTGGGGCTCCGCGGGCGAAGGTGCGGAGCAACGCGCCGACAAGAAGAAGAGACCCAAATCCCCAACGCATCAACACAGACCTTATCATCTCGTTGTGCATTCCGTGCTGTTTGAGTTGCCTCCGAGGTGCTGATTGTCAGTCGGAATCTTCTAGAGCTGCAGAGATGATTCGTGAGACTCGCGTGCATGTGCAGGGCCCGACTCTGCCTATTCCAGCCCAGCATGCTGGCAGCCCAGAGGGCTTGGAACACCGGTGGCCGGACGGTCTTTCAGACCTCTCCAGGGCGCAGGACTTTTTGCTAAGCCTACTGCAGCGCAGCAGCGGCCTCACCTCACCACGCCAACAGCTCATTGGGCACATTCACTCCCAACCCACACACCCATGGAAAATCTGTCTGGAATGAAGCAATGCAGTCTTCGTGTACTGCCGGTTTGAGACGGGAGGTGTCTATGGCTTTACAGGCAAAGGGCTAATCACACCCTAGAGGCCCTAGACATTGTGAGATACTCACAAGTCAATAGACCCTACGCATCTGCAGCATAGGAGATCAAAGTGCCGAATTGAAGCAACCTGCAGCCCGAGCCTCCCAAAGCGCCAAAGCATCGCTTTCGACTTGTCTTCGCCTCCTGAAGGCGCCGGTTCAAAGCTTTGTTAAGCGTTTTGAGACCACACGCGTTTTCTAAGTCCCCCCAGGCGTCAGCCGCGTACATGCAGGAGGTGCCATCGCGCTGCCAAGGCCTGGGCTAGGTCAGACACAGAGTTTGGAATCGCGATGGATACCTTCATGGCAGCTGCCACGATAAGCAAAGTGCGCAATCGATGGTATAGCAGGGATCTCGGCGCAGGTCTTAGAGTCTTAAGTCAGCATGTCACATTCTTCGGTCAGTGCTTGAAGGAGACGACTTCGGAGGAGCTTGAGTAATTAGTATAGCAGATAAGACGCGGTGTCTTGAGCACACGCCTCCAGGTTTCGCATCGCCATCTTCACGAGGCAGCAGCTTCATGAAGCCGTGTGGAGGGCACTTGAAGCAGAAGCAGATCAGAAAACCTGGAAGTCTCAATGTTGGCTGGCCATCTGCCAAGTGATGGAAGACCAAGGCGGATTCACTTCACATGGATAGTGGCCTGTAGATCCTGGAAAAGGAGGAGGGTCATACCTTGCTCGTGACGAGCTCGATACCACTTCCAGTGTCAGCAGGCCACGGACTAATCCAAATACATCAAATACTAACGCCGAGCAGATAGACAAAGAAAGCCCGACTTATTAATGTAGACTCTGACAGGTGGTCGCTTACTTAGTTCCGCTTCCGCATCATACCCTTGCCATGGGCTGTGGCGATGGCGGCAAAGGCATGCGCCGTCTTGCTTTCAAGGCCGGCATGGTGAAGACGCCGGAATGATCGCAATGACGATGAGATGTGCCGTACTGCCGTACCCCTGTAACATTCGTAATCCACTTGCAGTTGGGAGTGACACCGTGCTTTGTAGAAGTCCTGCAAGCTAAACCATCCAAGCCGCTAGCACGAATGCACAACCAACGAACAAGGGCAGCGCTGTGCCTCCAGGTCCTCTGCCCAAACGAGCTCATCGCACGTATTATGGGTAAAGGTGGGACTCGCAAAGACACTCGGCAGCTTCAACGTGATGGAACTGATTGTCGTGCCGCCTTGGCTTTGACCCTGCATGCAGTTGCTCCATGATGCCATCCGAGGACCAACTCCAGAGCGAAGCAGGCTGCCGGATCGTGGTCAGCGGCCGGGACGAGTTCTTCCCTGGCACTCGCTGGCGGGTCCTGTTGATATACAGTGACAGGTCGGAGGCGCGAAGTTCCAACACGCACAAACCCACAACACGATAGAGTGTTGCTGTGCGGAGTCATGTTCTGGCTGAGGCAATCCTTGCAGTGATGCAGCATGTGATTCGCGATGTCATCGAATGTGGTGCAAAAGAGTCACCGAATCCAGAGGCCGACTTCCTCGGCCCAGACCGTGGAACCTACATTATTCGATGTGTGGTCACAAAGCAGATGTCATCTGCAATCATCGGCCCGAAGGGCAACAATGCCCGCGCCATTAGAGAGGAGTCTGGATCCAAGGTCGTCATCGACCCCAACATAACTGCGGGACATCAGTTTGTCAAGCTCGTGGGCGAGCCCCAAGGCTTGCGAATTGCTTTGGCAAGAGTCAATCAGTATGTTCAAGAGCAATACGGAAGTCCCACGTACATGGAGTGGGCAACCATCAAAAGCTTCGATGGCGCTGGGAACCCTATCCATTCAGGCCCTGCAGAGACGGGCTTTAGCTATGGCAGTGTTCACGGCCACATGGGCAAAGGAGGAGCCGAATGGCCAGACGAGCGTGAGCGAACTCCTAGACAAGGCCAGGTTGCCTCTAGCACGCATGCGCACCTGCTCCCAGCAGCCACAACAACAAGACCAACAAGAACAGCGGCGGCGGCAGCAACAGAATCCAAAAAGCATGAAGAAGAACACTTGCGCTGACAGGAACGGCAAAAACCAGTAAGATCAGCATGCTAATTAAGCAGAGGTGGAGTTGAAGGCAGAGCCCAAAACCCCACAAGGCCAGAAGTGAAAAACATTGTGTCTCTGAAAGGCACCCAGCTGGCTGAAGCCCGTTCTGTTGCCCACCGGGATATTGCTTCGCTGTTGCAGAGCAATTGTTGCTGTCAGAACGACAAAAGAAGTATGCACCCAAAATGAGATGAATAGTCCGGGTACAGAAGGCCACATCACCATGTCTCGACAGAATATGTACCATCCGTGCGGTGTTTTGAACAGCAGCAACAACAACGACAGCAACAGCAGCAGCAACAGCATCAACAACAGCAGCGCATCGACATCAATAGTAAAGGCAACCCCTCCGAGTTGCCTCCGAGTTGCGAGAGCGTAAGTAAGGAGGCAAAGGGCAACCACCAAGGAACAGACACAAAGCTGCCGCCACATGAAGCCATCGTTTTAAGACGCCACCACGACCACCACCACCCTCACCAAGAATAACACTCACGTTTGCTTTGTCAGCAGGTTTAGACAAAAAGCCTTAATGGGATCAGGTGCTGGTTAAAACAAGCCTTGCTGGATTCTTGATTCACTGCTCCGGGTAGGGTTGTGTTCCTTGGCTGGTTCTAAGGCGCCGTCGAGGGGAGTTCAGATTTGTTAGCCTCTTAGAGCTGGCGTTAAGGCAAGACGCACCCGAGAAAATAGTGGTTTCAGAACGGAAGATGGATCCATAATTTTCTTGTTATAGAAATAACAATAATATAATACCCCCCTTCCTCAAAGAAAATGGTTCTAAATGGTGCACCACCCCTCCCGACGCGGAAAAAACTGAACTGGCAATGGAGAATGGATCCAGAATTTTGCACCAGAAGGACAATTCCCCTCCGAAAATCATGAAATGGAAATGGCAACATATCCGTTAGTCCCGAGAACATCAATCCCACCCAAATGGTTCCAGCAGGACATCCGCGCATGTGTCTGTAGCTATATGTGTGGCCAAGTTCGGCGCGTGGCTCGAAAAAGGGGTGGTAGGAGTCCTGTAGTGTCCGCGCTCGAGTTTGAACGTTTTAATGATGCCACTAAGCTCTGGCAGACCACAGTCTGAGAAGCCGTTATGCAGCTCCGGGCAGTGCGCTGTCAGCAAAAGACAGTCTCGCCTTGAAGCCATACCGCCCAAGAAGTGCTGCGGCCGCCTAGTGGCTCTGCCGGATGGAATGCCGTTGCCGACCCAACTGGTGCCCAGCTGGTGCGTCCATTGGCAAGCAAGTTATATCAGAGCGGAAAGGCCAGTGGAAGGGCATGCGGTGCCATTATATCATATAGGTCATAGGTTGCCCGGAACCGTGTATGCTGTCAGTCAGCTGCGGGAGTGCGCATTTGTGGCGCAGCCATGGGACAGATCCAATGGGATTCGTACCTCCAGGTTTTCCGTTGCAGGCAAGACGCCGGGGTCTGGCTTGCCTGCGTATGGGCACTTGTACAACGTGCTTTTCCCGCGGGCAGATGCCTGGTGAAGTTCGAGACGGAGGCGAATACTGGTGGCCGTTGCCGTAGCAGCTAGAAAGTACGTGATTGTAGGTGACAACAAGGAAGTGAGTCGATGCTTCTGTCCGGGGCTGCATGAGAAAGCATGATCAAACCATATCAAAGCAAAACGCACCTTAGGTGCGACGGACACGGCCGCCGTAGGCAGAGGTTGTGCAGGCCCGCGTGATGTGTTCAGATGTTGACTGAGATTGCCAGAACATGCCCGCCAGTTAGCCAAAACAAACCCGGGAAGACGTCTGCAGAGCAAGCTGCCACGCCCTCAGATTGAAGATTCCTAGCAATGCGGAGCCGGATGCAAGCAGTGCCATACATGTTCGAAAAATTTCGACAACCACTTTGGGCTCACAGCGGGAGCCCATGTAGGGCACCAGGACGGTAGGAACACGCAGAAACGAATATGATCGCGATCATCGTCTTCAAGTTTCTCGAAGTGCTCTGTCGGCTGATCCGTTCACTTGTGCCTTGGCTGAGAGCTTCCCATCTTTTTGGATTCTGCACGTGGCCGGTGGATCTCCACATGTTTCGCGCGGCAGGCACTCGGCATCCTAGTGCACGAGAGACGCTCTGAACCCTAAATCCTAAGCTGTAAAAAAGTGTGTCTGAGCCGAAACCCTCCGTAGCCATTTTGGCTCAAGCTGCAGCCCTCAAAGCTGCTCAAGGGAACATGGAAGTTCCGAACATGAATCCTTACGCTCTGGCACCCTCTACTACTAGTTTGGCCCCTCCTAGTCTAGCCTCTGCACGACCGGAGGGGGCACCTCTCTGCGCAACACCGAAATCTAAGCCTAGAAGGGATAAGCAAGTAGAAAGTCCCGAGAAGAAGCCCAAAGTCGACAAACAACGCCGAGGCCTCGAACCCCCCCCGCTCTTTGGTGGCAGTAGCGCACCCAGCAACTTGCCCCCCACGAGAGCTGATGAGGTTTCCACGAGGACAGGGCCCGAGGTGTACCACTTGGATCCTAATACTTCTCCTACGTGGGTCAAGGACCTACAGAACATGGTCGCTACGGGCCAGAGGTATTTCAGACGTTGCTGCACAGGTTCAGGGGATTGACAGGAAGCAAGAGGAACTGCACCGAGCACAGGGGGACATGGCGGCTCGCTTAGACAACATGGAAGCTGAAGTCAGGGACCTTAGGACCAGGTCTAGGTCAGTGAGCCCGGCTCCCCACCGAGCCGTGGAACAGAGTCCCAGAGGGTCGACGGTGGCCAGCACCCTTGGTGGCAAGCCTGTAATCGATGATTTACAAATCGTTATTGGTGGATGGGATGAAGCTAGGCGTAGCGATGCCGAACGGGAAGTCAGGCTCCTCTTCGATAAGATAGACGCAGCGCCCCTCCTCCATAACATCACCATTCCCTTCGTAAGGACCAAGTTTGCACGCGTGGAGCTCCTGTTTACCAACAGCAATCTGGGAGAGAGAAGGCGCATCCAGAACCTCACCATCCAAGCCCTGAAGGAGAAACTCGAAGATTACGTCAGTTGCATCCCAGGACAAGAGCGTGCCAAGCTTTGGGTTACACGTAACAGAAGTAAAGACGAACGAGAGAAAATCAGAGCCCTTGTGAGCATCCGCAACTGGGCAAAAAAGCACCTTTCGGAGGTCTTTATAGACCTTGACTGGTCGGGCAGGCTTTGGATCCGTTCGGAACAGGTGCTGTTCTGGCATCGCTACCGCGAGCCGAATGACAATTCAATGATGTTGACGAATGTTGCTGGTGATGAAACTGGCTGGTTCGTTGATGTCAGCCAGCTTGGCAGGTTGCTCTCGCTCAGCCCAGATCAGGTGCGGAATGAACTCCAGGACTGACTAGTACAGCAAACAAAGGTGGGGCAGGGCACAGGTAGAAGCCGTGCACGCAGAATTCAAGAATTCACTTCGGTCACATGGAATCTCCATGGGAAGCACTTGTCCTCAGTAAAAAACTTTTTGGATGGAATTGAGGATCCTTTTGAACTTCTGCTCTTTCAGGAGGTTGCGGGCTTTTCGGACATCCCCGAAGGGGACTGGCGCACAGACGATATAGGCATAAGCGGTCAGGCCTACAAGCTTTTTGTTTACCAAACTCCCCTGGCGCACAGAGCGACATCACTGCTTTTCAGGGCAGACCTCGACCTGCAAGTGGTCGCTCGCCACTCCTTCAGCACAGGGTTTATCCTGCAGTGTAGGGCAGAGGGGCGACATTTTTGGTTGGGAACAGCCCATCTCCCCCACCAGCAACGACCAGATGCCGAGGATGTCTGGTTAGCTGACGTCTCTAGGATGGATGAAGTTTTGTCACTGTCGCGTTATCATGACGTCATCTGTATAGGAATGGATGCGAATCAACATGTTTTGAATTCAAACCCGTACTTCCCGGCACTTGCCCGCCTTCAACTCCTTGCCCGACATCGTGGACTGGAATTCAATATGCCTCTTGGCTGCACTTGGACTGCACGTAACGAATTCAGCACGATAGATTGGTTTATGATGCGGTGGCCCATGATTGAAGTCGACTTCCACCTCAGGGAGGACTTTAGGCGCGCCTTGCCCTCGGACCATAATGCTCTAGTTGCGGTTGTCCGGGGCAGGACAGGCCTTAGTGTACGCCCGCCAAGACCCCGCCATGGCTGTGGTAGATGGGGAATTGTTTCAGGCCCTTTTGAGAAAGCAGCGGAGGATACTTCCTTCGTACTCACGCAAGAATCCTTCGCTGCTTTGTGCCAGAAACATTCCTTCAGACTCCCCTCCCGTCGTTACAAGGACCCTCCTGAGATCAGGGAGCTGATCCGCCGCAGGAAGGTATGTGGAGACTTTCAGGAGAGGGAGAGACTCGCCACGCAAATTGCCCAAGACCGCATCTTGGCACAAAAGCAGCATAAGCTGGCCCTGTTGGAAGCAGCCCGAAATGGGGACAGGGGGGCTATTGGGCACTTACGCAGGAGTTCCATGCAGAGCTTCTCGGACGGCAGCTTGCTTGAGAGGCTAGGGGGACATGACCAAGCATGTGAGAAAGTTCCTCGTTTTGAGGGTTGGATCCTTGGGGGCTGGATCAGGGGGGTTTGAAGGCCAAAACCAATTTCCTCAATAGTGCAGTTCAATATACCGATTTAAGGTTTCAAGCTGTTGTACTATTAGCTTATTTATGTATTTTATTAGGAATTTCAGTGCCGGGGGCACGGCCGTTGACCAAAACATTTTAAAGCACACTGGGAAGCCAGCGTGAGGAAACCCTTTTTTGCCAAACATTTTTGCATTTGTCCAAGCCGGATGTATTGAGCGATGGTGTTCGCTTCTGTCCAAGCCGGATGTGTTGGAAGCTGAAACGTGGTCCTTTGTCACGTGCCACTGCTTGGTTGGCTTGGTTGCTTGGTTGGCTTGCTTGGCTTGCTTGGCTTGCTTGGCTTGGTTCGACTCGCCCTACCCATCCTGCACGCCCAAGCTCAGAGTGGTCTTAGAGACCGCTCCAGTCGGGCTCGGACCACGTGAGCAATGGGTCCTTGATCCGTGCGGGACAGCGTCGCTGGCCGGGCGCTGGGGATTTACTCTGTGTGCTGCTCGCCTGTCCAGCCAGGTGGTGTGTCCGCCGCGGGGTGAAATGCACACAGATTGCAGGGAAGGCCTCGCTACTATTAATAAATACTATGCCACGTACCCACACCACGGTCGAAGTATTAACTTCGATCACTGCTGCTTGCCGGCATGGCCCCGCATGGCATCTTATGCTGTGCCTCATTGACAGGTCTTCAGTAACCGGCACGTCGCGCAGCGATTCCGGTGCACTCGATGACGAGCATGACCTGTCCTCTTGCGGGCCGGTATGCAAGGCAATTGGATTTCAGCGCTCCGCATAGGGCAAAGAAGGCAAGCACGACGTCCAAGGCCCTGATTTGCCGGCGCATACTCAGCAGGGTGACCCCATCTTGGCCGAATGGGGGTGGCATTTAAAGAAGTCTCCAGTCCGCATGACTGTCAGAGCACACTCGTGTTTGCAAAGACGCTGGGGAGGCCGTTACTGTGTCGGCATGGCATTGCTTGGCTTGGTTGATTCGATTCTGCAGTGGCATCAATTCTGGTAGCATCAATCAATTGTGGTAGTCAGCATGGCATTGCTTGGCTTGGTTGATTCGATGCTGCAGTGGCATCAATTCTGGTAGCATCAATCAATGTCAATGGTGGTAGTCAGCATGGCATTGCATGGCTTGATTGCTTCGATTGTTGCGGTGGCATCTGATTCGATTTTGCGGTGGCATCAATTCTGATACCATCAGTTCTGGTAGCAGCAACTGTGGTAGTCAGCATGGCATTGCTTGGCTTGGTTGATTCGATTTTGCAGTGGCATCAATTCTGGTAGCATCAGTTCTGGTAGCATCAACTTGTCAATTGTGGTAGCAACAATTGTGGTAGCGCTAATTGTGGTAGCATGATTTGCGGTAGTATAACTATTGTGGTAGCATCAATGGCAAGGTCTGCCTGGCATGTTTTGACAGAGCCGGGGGGGGGGCAGGGCTGGCATGAAATTTGCATTTTGCCAGGTGAAGTCGTTTCAGAAGGCATGTGAGTGATATTTGCGCGGAAGGCTCAGTGAGTGTGTGTGTGTGTGTGTGTGTCAGCTTGCTTGGTGATTGATTGTGAGCCCCTGGTAACCTAATGCTGCAGTTCTGGCTCAAGTTGTGCTATGTCGAGTGTGGCCCTCCAGCATCTCCCTGAGGAATTGTGTCTCGAGGAGCAGGGCCAGGATCTCCGGAAAGCACAGCAAGCAATCTACTTGCTCTATTTTCTCTGCCCGAGAAAGGCTGTTGATCTTGTGACACCTGCAGTACATTTCAGACAATTTCCAATTGAGAATAATTTGCTACCTGACATGTCATTGTTTCAATGCAACAACATTTGAGGAGATCTTTCAAACGGGCAAGAGACGGCATCCAGAAACCAGAAGCCTGGATTCTGTCAGCCTGTAACAAGAACGTTAGAGAGCACTTTGGCAAAGATTGATGCAGCCCTTTTTTTTGGCGCTTAAGCTTTCATCATTACAATTCCGTGTTCATTCGAGGCACAATCAAAGCTTGGGGATAGTATACAGCCAATTCGATGTCGGGAACTACGGCAGCAAGAAAGCAGACGCCTCAACGAAAAGTTCCGGTGACTTGGGGCGAGGCAAAGAAGAAGACGACTCGGACGATTGGGGACGCAAGTGGAAGGACCCCGAGAGAAACAAGAGACCACGAACCGGCTATTGATGCTACTGATGACGATGTGAGCTCTATTGACAACCCGAGCTCTTCGGCAGCTGCTTTCTGCTCCAACACTTCGAGGTCAGTTTTCCTGGGCGGCAAAACCTACGTTTGGCCGAAGAGAGTGGTGATCGTTGGTTATGGGGTTGCCCACCATGGAAATCGTCCATCACCTCAGATGGCAGACTTGTTGGAGAGGTTGGACAAGGAATGTCACTTTTCTAACACATGGGAGGTTCGCTTGCAGAAGTCAATGCACGTGAAGAAGCTTCATGACATTTGTACATTTTTCATTCATTTCAGTTTCACTCAATTGACAATTGAGGGCAGTGACAGTGACAGTCATGGATGGAAGCCAAGGGAGGCCGAAGGAGGAAGGTTTGGCAGAGAATGTGGCCTATACCAGCATATCATGGAACAGGTGCCTGGTCGAACAGGTGTTGCTTCATGAATCGAGTTGTATAATAATTAATTTTAATTTTAATAATAATTCACCCTAATGACCGAGGTGTATAGTCATCCCGCAGCGCTCAAGACGCTCCACTTCATCCTCAATTTTCCCGACAAGTTGCTCAGGCTTCTCGAGTCTTTGAATGCTGAAGGTCTTGGAGGTTTTTTTTAGGTTCAGGGACTAGGATAATTATAACCCTCCTATGTGGTCCTTCAATTGTCAGGATCTGCTGTTCGGCGGGATGGCACAGGACGTGTGCCATGATTGCGTTGGTCATGGCTCTCTTCCAAGTCGCTGTGCTGAACTGACTCATTGGTCCAGGTGACACTCAATTGTCTAGTTTTTGTAAGTATATCAGCTGTCAGTGCAGGTCTGTGGCATCGAATGCGTCGCATGGTTCGACACTTTAGTCCAGAAGCACAGAAACAAAGATCACAGTGCCATCGCTGCCGATCAACAGCACATTATCGACTTCGCCAATGGCCATCACGTGTCGCTGAGCAGCTTCAGATTTTCGAATGTTGTTTTGAGGTTGTAATATGTAAATATTTAAATGCAATCCATGGTTCTGCCAAAGTGTGCATCAGGAAGCAGAAGCATCTCCTGCCGTCCATTGGTTGGTCGTCGGATGAATGGAAGGCAGCATTGCAAAATGCTTGGAACACATGGACCGACCAATTTGCAAATCAGACTGATTGGGCTTCCATTCAGATGTGCCTGGACTCGAATTCCGCATTGATTTGATTTGCAGTCTGCCCTGTAGTGCCAACACGTACCACTTTGACTCAGGAACTTGAAAACAAGAATGGTCAAGGACAAGCAGGAACATCCCGTGGACCTACCTGCCAGGACATTTCAGAAGCTTCAGAAGCGAAATCAGAAGACGAAGTCAAGAGGAACTGCTGCAGCAGCAGCAGCTGGGAGCAACACTACATTTTCGCTTCAGCTTCAAGAATAAATAATAACATTTCAGTCACAATTGACATCCTCAATTGAGTGTGTGTGTGTGTGTCGTCTTCAATGCAAAGCATTTGAGGTGCTGCCAGATGCCAAAAGAGCACGAACTGCTCCGCTTGAGATCCCGGAGACAGATGTCGATGACGCCACAAGAGGGGGTGGTGATCCTGCATCCTCCAGTTCTGCTA